AAACGTAGAAGAAACACGTTGGAAAATCATCGAAATTGTAGATCTAAGGTAAGAGTTGACTTAGTTTACTTTAAGGATTGAATCATCCCTGGAAAATATTGACAGAACAAGCGATGCTTTCAGGCAATGGAGAGACAACAATCAGAAGCATAAACTTTATCTGACTTAAAATGAGAGCTTTGTTAGAATAATTCAAATATGAATTTAGCCAAAGGTACAAGGGACAAAGACAGCAATCCTTGTTACAAAACGTAGAAGAAACATGTTGGAGAATCATCGAAGTTGTCGATCTAAGGAAAGAGTTGACTTTGTTTAGTTTAAGAATTGAATCATCCCAGAAGAATATAACAGAACAAGCGATGCTTTCAGGCAATGGAGAGACAACAATCAGAAGCATAAACTTTATCTGACTTATAATGAGAGTTTAATCAGAATAATTCAAAGTTAAATATAGCCAAAGGTACAAGGGGCAAAGACAGCAATCCTTGTTACAAAACGTAGAAGAAACACGTTGGAAAATCATCGAAATTGTAGATCTAAGATAAGAGTTGACTTAGTTCAGTTTAAGGATTGAATCATCCCAGGAAAATATGACAGAACAAGCGATGCTTTCAGGTAATGGAGAGACAACAATCAGAAGCATAAACTTTATCTGACTTATAATGAGAGTTTAATCAGAATAATTCAAAGTTAAATATAGCCAAAGGTACAAGGGACAAAGACAGCAATCTTTGTTACAAAACGTAGAAGAAACACGTTGGAAAATCATCGAAATTGTAGATCTAAGGTAAGAGTTGACTTAGTTTACTTTAAGGATTGAATCATCCCTGGAAAATATTGACAGAACAAGCGATGCTTTCAGGCAATGGAGAGACAACAATCAGAAGCATAAACTTTATCTGACTTAAAATGAGAGTTTAATCTGAATAATTCAAAGTTAAATATAGCCAAAGGTACAAGGGACAAAGACAACAATCCTTGTTACAAAACGTAGAAGAAACGCGTTGGAAAATCATCGAAATTGTAGATCTAAGGTAAGAGTTGACTTAGTTTACTTTAAGGATTGAATCATCCCTGGAAAATATTGACAGAACAAGCGATGCTTTCAGGCAATGGAGAGACAACAATCAGAAACATAAACTTTATCTGACTTAAAATGAGAGTTTAATCTGAATAATTCAAAGTTAAATATAGCCAAAGGTACAAGGGACAAAGACAGCAATCTTTGTTACAAAACGTAGAAGAAACACGTTGGAAAATCATCGAAATTGTAGATCTAAGGTAAGAGTTGACTTAGTTTACTTTAAGGATTGAATCATCCCAGAAGAATATAACAGAACAAGCGATGCTTTCAGGCAATGGAGAGACAACAATCAGAAACATAAACTTTATCTGACTTAAAATGAGAGTTTAATCTGAATAATTCAAAGTTAAATATAGCCAAAGGTACAAGGGACAAAGACAGCAATCTTTGTTACAAAACGTAGAAGAAACACGTTGGAAAATCATCGAAATTGTAGATCTAAGGTAAGAGTTGACTTAGTTTACTTTAAGGATTGAATCATCCCTGGAAAATATTGACAGAACAAGCGATGCTTTCAGGCAATGGAGAGACAACAATCAGAAGCATAAACTTTATCTGACTTAAAATGAGAGTTTAATCTGAATAATTCAAAGTTAAATATAGCCAAAGGTACAAGGGACAAAGACAGCAATCTTTGTTACAAAACGTAGAAGAAACACGTTGGAAAATCATCGAAATTGTAGATCTAAGGTAAGAGTTGACTTAGTTTACTTTAAGGATTGAATCATCCCTGGAAAATATTGACAGAACAAGCGATGCTTTCAGGCAATGGAGAGACAACAATCAGAAGCATAAACTTTATCTGACTTAAGATGAGAGCTTTGTTAGAATAATTCAAATATGAATTTAGCCAAAGGTACAAGGGACAAAGACAGCAATCCTTGTTACAAAACGTAGAAGAAACATGTTGGAGAATCATCGAAGTTGTCGATCTAAGGAAAGAGTTGACTTTGTTTAGTTTAAGAATTGAATCATCCCAGAAGAATATAACAGAACAAGCGATGCTTTCAGGTAATGGAGAGACAACAATCAGAAACATAAACTTTATCTGACTTAAAATGAGAGTTTAAGCAGAATAATTCAAAGTTAAATATAGCCAAAGGTACAAGGGGTAGAGACAGCAATCCTTGTCTCAAGATGTTAAAGAGACACGTTGAAGAATTGTGGACTTTATAGATCTAAGGAAAGATTAACAATTGAAATATACAAGGAATATATGGCAGAGCAAGCAAAGCTTTTTATCAATGGAGAAACATCGATGAGAAACATAATTTTTATCTAATTCAAAGTGAGAGTTTAAGCAGAATAATTCAAGGATAAGTTTAGACAAAGATATAAGGGGCAGAGACAAGAAACTTTCTTTCAAAACATATGGAAGACTGATTCAAGAACCGTGGATTTTATCGATCTAAGGAAAGAATTTTCTTAAATTAGATCAAAGATTGAAATATCGTAGGAATGAAGATGGCAGAACAAGAAAAGCTTTATATCAATGAAGAGACACAAACGAGAAACAAATACTTTATCGGTCTTAAGGTGAGAGTTTAATCAGAATAATTCAAAGATAAATTTAGCTAAAGATATAAGGGAGAGAGACATCAAACCTTCTTTCAAAACATATGGAAGACCGATTCAAGAACCGTGGATTTTATAGAGAAACAAAATTGCAGAGACAACAATCCTAGTATGAAAACGTAAAGGAGACAGTTTCGAGAATCGTAGTCTTTATCGATCTAAGGAAACAGTTTTCTTAAATTTGATCATAGATTGAAATATCGAAAGAAAAAAGATGGCAGAAGAAGAAAAGCTTTCTATCAATGGAGAAACACCAACGAGAAACATAAACTGTATCTTCTTGAAAGTGAAAGTTTATTTTGAATAATGCAGAGATAAACTTAGCGAAAATTACAAGGGGTGGAGAGAGCAAACTCTCTTTCAAAACGTAGAAGGGACAGGATAGTGAATCATCAACTTTATCGATATAATGTTATAGTTTACTTAGGTTAGATTGAGGATTGAAATATCCAAGGAAGAGGTAGCAGAATAAGCAATGCTTTCTATCAATGGAGAGACACCAACGAAAAAAACTTTTTCTAATTCGAAGTGGGAGTTTGTTTAGAATTATTCAAAGATAAATTTTGCGAAGGTTACAGGGGACATGGACAACAAACCTTCTTTCAAAACGTAAAAGAGACATGACTGTGAATCATCGACTTTATCGATCTAAGGTAAGAGTTTACTTAGATTCACGTTACTCGATGTAGAGTAAGTATGGATGAAGTACATGCTGCAGTGCAGGTGATTCAAAATTGGCCGTAAAATGCCAAATAATTGGTAAACGCAGCAGGTATTCGCCATTTACCAAACATTTTCCCGTTACCAGAGGGTAAGGAAGGCCAAATATCGTGGATGCAAAAAGTTCTGATTGATTTTACCCTTGCCTTAAGCCTGGTCTATCTATTTGCAAAGTCAAAGCTTTTCGCTTGGATATGTTCATTAGGTTAGCTACTTCAGCTACTGTACAGTGGATGAACCCGAACCCTAATTTTGGCCATAACCACCCAAAGAATCATAAAACAATTTTACCTATCTCTACCTACATTTAAATCAAAAGATCTGGGTTTGAATACTTCCGTTAGGTCAGGTACTCGAAAAGTTATACGTTAAAACATATTCAATCGTACAATAAAGCACGTTGCAATTTTTCCTTTCTTCTTTTCTTTGACCTGTTTTATTTTAGCATAATGAACATATCTCCAGTTCTCAATTAGTTCTTATTTATACTCTGTAGCAAAATTTGTAATGTTGGATCTTGTCTCGGAAAACTAGCCCCATTTTTACAAAAATTCTTGTTCAGGCGAGGCTATATAGCCCCTTCACTATATCCCCTCTTAGATAAGGAGGAGGGCTTCTTTCTTTTTAGAACATATGATTTCAACTCTTGGAACGATACTGGTTATGACGATCATAGCAAATACTACTTTATCCGGCATTCCAATTCTTTACTTGGATTGAATCAAAAGAAGTGACGTAGATTCACTATGGGACTGGAGTATGCAACCATTCCATTTTCCTTCCGGGTCGGGGTGTTCGTAGGGGGGAGAGGTGTAGATCATGACCAATGATTCACAGATATTATAATAAGAAAAACAAAATGGAAAGTCAATCAGAAAAAGCATTTAGCACGACCTCGAAGAAATTTGGTTACAGTAGTTCGAGGCGAGAAAATCTAAGCACTACATCGCAATTCAATGAAAGAGGGATTAAAGCATTGTAATTTTCCCGAATCACTGGGATTTTGTATTCAATAAGTAGGGTCAAATGAACAGGTTTTCCTTACAGCCGGCTGATTGACTGCGTATTTATCAGAAAAATTAGAAGAAGAACTCTATCAAAATTTTTCAACGAAGCTTGTCCGCTTAACATCAAACAGAACAGGTTTAAAGATGTCGTATCTACTTTCTGATAAGACAAGCTAAGAGCAACACTTTGAAAGAAAATAAGAGAACAGATTCGATTACCTCACTTGAACGCAATCAGCCAATTCCCTTCATCCAGGCATCTAATGTCTGCTACTTGTCGAAGCTTTGCGCTGCAGTACATATTCCAATATTCCAATATCGAACAAATTTCACAAGTTCATAGATTTAGTTGATTTATAATGGTTCAAAGTTTGTAGAAGTCACAATAGAGCACCATCAAGTAGGCCATCTTGGATAGTATAAACCTTCGAAAACACTGCCGAATTCATTTCAGAATGCCAGAGCGGACGATATTATCCACAAGCTTCCATCAGCATCATCAAAACTTTGTTATGCATCATATTTAATATCTGGTTCATAATTCAGAATATTGATTATAAAACAAATGGATTGCTTATTCATATTCTACGAAAACCTGGGATACTCTAGGGAGATTCAATTTGATTGAACCACAGGTAGTCCAAAGAGGAAACAAACAATTAAAAATATAAGCGGGAGAGGTGACTCTTGGGAGTTCACAGGCAATTGCTCCTCCAAGCTGGCAAGAGCTGCATCCAGGTAACAAATATTCTTTAGGAAGAATGATAAACTATCAAAAGGAACAACTTCTGACTCATTCCTTTCTCCAAACCATTTGCTTCCACCGATAAACCACATGCCTTGTATATCGATGATGTAAAGATATCCCATAAAAATACATTTAACACCATTAACAAGAAAAGCTGTGTGACGGCATTTAACATTTCAGAGTAAAACGTGAACCAATATAGGGAACACAGAAAGAAAAACATGACACTTTTCTCTAAAAGTATGCCTCATAAAATCTCGACCAAGCTACAAGTGTCTGAGCGCACAGTCGTGTATGCGAAATCTAAACATAAGTAATTTACCTTTTACCAACCCTACAAGACTTGATGACTAGTCTTTTTAATAACATGAAGTTGATGTCATCATGCAAGTTTCGTGAACTTTGTTTAAACTGAGTTACGAAAAAGTTCTAAAGACAATTTTCATTCAAGACCTCACAGTTGCGTGATACAAGTACTTAGACAATGCAATTAAATTAACATTTTGTTGTGGTAATCATAAAGTCTAAAAAGTTCAAATCAAACGAAAATATATCCTACAATAAAAGCATTATCTATATGCAGAGATTATGTAATGAAACTATCAGGAATCTCCTGAATTTAAATACCCAATCGAAAATTTTGCAAAAACAATAGTTATCATATCACCTTGCCTTGATAAGAATTGATGAGGGAATGGCCGTTGCCATTGAAAGTATTTCAGGCTATTAAAGCCTTTTGGATCCAAACCAACCGCATGAACCCTTATGGCTCTCCCAATCAGTTTAAAGGCCTTCATCAAAGCTGTCAGGTATCCTGAAGCACGCCCTACTCAAATAGTAATTGAAGTCCTGCTATCTTATGTAATATCAAACCATTTATCGTTTGGTGCAGAGGTGACCAGAGACACCAAATAACCATATAAGATATGTATTCCTTTCTTTTAAGAGGGACGAACGTTGAAATTTGATTGAGATATTCATAGCCCACCGAGCAGATACTCAAAGAATCTTCAAGATTTTCAAAAACCTGCAGAAAAAAACAAAAAACACAAGCTGTGTTAATAAATCTGTTTTACCAAGTATTTCAAAAAAGAAAATGAAGAAAAATTTACAATTACTGATCTGACTACGCCGTTAATTGTCCATCGACATATTTTCTTCATTGCAATCTTTTGACAAATGTATTTTGATTTTATCACAGTTCTGTGTTAAATACAAAGGTTCTCCATTCAATTTATTTATGTGACATTCTTCGATTTTCCCTTGGAAACTTGCCTGTGAAAATAGGACCCTGTTGTTGACAGTCGACAGTTCTGTACTGCTAAAGTTGACTGAAAAGGCTTCTTTGGTATTGGTATTGCTTTTCCGAGCTACGAGAAGAAACATGAATTTGTCATTCTTTTTAAATCATCTCAACTAACAGTACAAGGAACTTTTACAGAATTTGCAGCTTTACAAACATGGATAATACGAGTTCTGGTCACATAGTTTTAAGAAGATATGAATTTAAAAACGTCTTCGAAAAAAGCAAATATTTTACAACATGATATAATGATTTGTCAGAAAAGCTAAGATTTTTCAACAATTAAAGAGGCGATAATTAATTATAAAAATCTACAGAATAAAACAAAAACGCAAGCTGCTCATTAATGAATCTGATTTAATGTATATATTTCAATAATGTAACGGAAAATGAAGAAAAATTTACAATAATTAACTGCCTATATGGATCCACAAATGGACTAATAATGGATCCACAACTGGGTATATATTTTCCATCGTTCTTTCGGACTCTTATTCTGACGTTTCATAATCTAAGGAGTGTAAGACGAAAAAGCTTTTAGTAGTATGTTTGTAAAATGTTTGCTTTTTTCAAAGCCATTTCCAAGTTCTGTACCGCCAAAACAATTGCTCAAAATATGAATTTTAATGAGTATTGTGCTGTGAAAAAAATCTAGAGAGTTTTTCAAGCTTGGAAAGTTGATGATGGCATGTATTCATGTCAGTTATTTTTAGGCATAGATAAGTTCTAATTAATTTAGCTTTATGTGAAAATAATCATGAATATTAGCAGAAACATTATCATTAAGAGAGTTTCTTATTGGGAGAGTCTTTACATTTCACTTTGGCTACATTTGAGGAAGTAACATTTATATATCAAACTTCTATATCACAAGTAAACTCTACAGATACGGCAAATATTTTTGTTTAATTAAATTCCTAGGTTAAGGCAGATAGTCTCGATCTTTTACAATAGTCATGCAGCTCAATTTTTGTACGAGTGTTGTAAAAGTAGAGACCACAGTTGTAAGCAGTTGTTCAAGAAACTGTTCTCATAGATGCGAGACGTTTAAGATATTTCTTTACCTTCTTCGCGAGCTTTAGCTTCCTTCAGAAGGCATCTGACTAAAGCCTCTTCTGTTTCTGAGGAGGACTGAAGACCGATGGCTCCAGGTTGGTTCTTGTGTACTTCATGCGATCTTGCGACGGGAAAGTCAGGTACAGTTCTTGATGATGAAGGCTAAAAGGCAAATTTCTATCAAATGATGTGCTATGCTATCAAAATAACAAATGTGCTTAGGAAAATAAGAAAAGGGAAAGACTATAACATAGCAGCATGCTTTGGATTACTAAAGCCAGTATCCAATTTCAGGAATGCTCGAAGACAAAATGATAGAAAATATTCGACTGAAAACTAAAAAAATGTAGCCTGTGGGTGACCTTGCAAAAGGAAATACCCTGAATAATCAATACAGAATTCTAGTAATTCAAATTATCAAATGTAATGAATGTTTAATGAATAAACCGGCTAGTTAATAGATAATACACTAAAAGCGACTACCGTGACTGGCAAGCCTATTTTCACCAGTTAGCCCCCCCCCCCAACACTCTGCAGTGCCTGTATCGTTCCCGTCAGACTTTGCAGGAGGGACGAGATTCTTCGGAGCTTTTGTCCTATCCACTTGTCTGCACAAGTGAGAAAATATATCACATGGGCATGTGCATTAGGGCGAAGGTAAAGTTTACATCTCATGGCGCATTATTCAATTAAAACTATTCTACATCATGGTTAAACAGATCAAAAATCAACCAAAGTTTCATTCTCATTTTTCTCGTGATACCCTCTTTCTCAGAATTTTCTCCGTCTTTTTGCTAGAGGCTGGCTAACTTTCATAAGAGCAAAAAAGAATGTTCCCACCACATTATAAATCATGCAATGTCAAAATAACGCCATCGGTTATAACTGCACGCGTGCAGATGATGCAAAATTTGGAAGCAAGCGGGGCTTCAGTTAAATTCTTGTCCATATCCCCAAGAAGACTGTGACGAAGAGACCATTCAAGTAGACAACTAAACAAATAGAATTGAAAACTGCACAAACAGCCGAGGACATGTAACCAAAGACCCGCAAAAAAGGTTCATAACACTACCGTAAATCAGTGATTCCCATTATCAGCCATAGTCGGAAAGTCTAAAGGTTGAGGACTTTATTAGAGAACACAGATGTCAATCCCTACAAAAAATCGATTTGAAATTAGTGTCAACAGACCTGACTTGCAGTACCCCTGTTGTTGAGGACACTGAGGGCCAAACGATCTTCTTTTAACCTTTTTTCTTTGGCTCTCCTGTTTTGAAACCAGACACGAACACGATCAACAGGAAGGTTTACTTTCTTTGCTACTTCCTTTCGCGTTGAAGCACTCGGATAATTATTTCCTTCAAATGTTGCTTCAAGAATCGTCAGCTGATCTGAAGAGAAGACTGTCCGTGGTTTTTGTCTCCTTAGGTACAGTGAGGGATCTATTGAAAAAGAAATATACAGATAATGCGTAAAATATTTTTCGTAAAAAATTTAGAAAGAAATATATTACCTCTTAAAAAATCCATATAAGCAGAAGAAAGTAGAGATTTGCGCAAAATGAGACCTGGCAGAAGTAAAATATTTATATTTGTAGCAATTTTTAGGCTATCCCTTTATCAGCAGATGAAGGAACTCTACAAAAGTGTTCTACACATAAAATCAGATGAAAGAATATAGCTAGAGAAGGGCTAAGAACTTTAAATCAAGAAAAATAATAATATTCGGATTATAAGATTGAATACACTATAAATCTATCAAGGTTAACAATTAGAAAGTTTTTATGATGAAACATATATAATGAAAATTAATGTAAATTTATCCGCCTGTGATAAAGTGCTCGATGCCGTAGATGCGTGTTGATCGCATTACCTTGGAGAAGTAGCTTAGTCTTGTCCTAGTCCATGCACCAAAAAAGTTTATAGAAATATATGTTTTAAAGCTCTAGTTTTTCAAGCAAGCAAAGCAAGCAAGCAAGCAAGCAAGCAAGCAAGCAAGCAAGCAAGCAAGCAAGCAAGCAAGCAAGCAAGCAAGCAAGCAAGCAAGCAAGCAAGCAAGCAAAGCATAGGTTAAAAAATCTTAGCCATTTATCAGGAAAGTAATAATACATTATGATTTTAGTGTCTGGTGTTCAAATGTACATTCAAAATGAACGTGTGGTCAAAACAAGACAAAAGGAGCCACTTCACACTCACCAAAAGTAATGTAGTCGCCACATGCACCGTTCATAAAGTTATGGTAGGGTGGCATATATCCGTAGCAAAGATGCGGTTGGAAAAAATGGTGTCCTTGCAATGGTATTTGGACACCTCTTCCTGATTGCTGGTTGTTCATCCAAGTTGCATCCTGTTGCATAGCTAGTCCTGGAAGTTGTGATCCGGTTGAGCTCTGAGTAGACTTGGAGAGAGCACTGCTGACAACGGTGTGTGCATGCAGATTTGGTTCTAACGATTGCTTGCTTGCACTGGAACAACCAAATATGCCTAAGCTCTGGCTGACTTCTATCTGGTTTTCCGTTGCTGTTTCCTTCGCACTAGATATTTTATCTGTTATTTCTGAATTCTCCATCTCGTTTATTCGCTCAAAGCAATTTAATTCGTGTCCTGACGCTAAAGTCAAATCATTGAACTGATATGCAAGAATAAGATTTCTCTAATTTAAATTGGACGCTTCTATGACGTTACATCCAATTCATATGACGTACGAATTAAATACTTATTCCTATCACTTGTTCATTTTAATAAATGAGGTATTTTCACCTGAAATTGTCTGATAGTCGTCTTAAATGAATTCGTCAGGTTTTCACAAGGTTACAAACTTTTAAAAAACACGGGGATAATTAAAGTGATTATATTATTTACAATATTTCTTACTTTTCAACCATAAAGTTGACATCGATAAAGGGAAAATAAAAATTATACGTTTATCACCGTAATACAGTTAGCGATTGCAATCCATTTCGAAACGCGAGAGAGGGGGGAGCGAATTCGATAGAAAAAACCGTTAGAACGCATCGCGTCAGATCGAAATCTTCCACGAGAATGGATACAGTTGAAACCGATCGAGTTTCGAATGAGCCACACGAACCTTATCAATATACAACGGCAATTTCCTTTGCGTTAATCGGGCAATCATACCAGAAGAATAAAAGCAAGCAAAATGCAGAACCAAGATTGGACTGATGGATTCGTCCAAGTATTAGAAACAGGAACTGCTGACTTCTCCGGTCGAGGCATTAATGTGAATCCGCGTGGAATTTCATCTGGGGGACGATCCGTTGAAGGAGATAGTCCAGGGCAATGCCTGATATCTATATCAAATTTCAACTTCTATAATGCGACTGATCCAAAAGGAATGATGCCCGCAGGAATCAATTTAAACAATAGTTGCAGCTTTAAAGCAAGAGGCATTCCTTCAGATCTGAAGAGCGATCAGTATTTTGCAAAAAATTCACAGAACAACCTTTTTGGGATCTCTGGTAACTAATAGCTCAGATGATGTCATCTACCTAGTTAATTGTTTATTCTTGAAAAATCAGATAAAATTAGATAATGACAAAATTAAAGTCTTCGCCCAAATTTAAATTGTAGTTATGATATGATGTGGTTTTAGCTTTTGGATCCACAGTTCATTTTCAAGGTATCAGATGTATTAAGAAACTGAAATCCAGTGTTGGGAACAAACGGACATACCTATTTGCATCGTTTTGCCGAGCATGCGTTTCTAAAAATTACGATGCCTTCACTCACAGTTAAATGCTATGAATTTTTTAATTGATCTATAACTCTCTTGACTGCGATGACTTAACACTTTCGTGAAATTAATGCTTTTCAATTTGTTACAGGTCATGAAGCTTTTCAACCAAGGACAAGAAAAAGACTTCGAACAATATTTACAAATGAGCAAGTCAATTTGCTCGAGGCAGCCTACAGTCATAACAAGTATCCGGATACGAATGTTAAAAGAAAGATTGCCGCTCGGCTAGACCTTCCAGTAGACAGAATTCAGGTGTGGTTTCAGAATAAGCGAACTAGAGACCAGAAGCTTCGTCGTAGCAAAGGTGAAAGCAAACAGGAAGAAAATCCAGATAACAGCGAAGAGAAAAAGTAATTTCCCAAACAGAATTTGCTAGTTTAAAATTTTTGGGTTAACCTGCAAATGAATTTAATAATGTGTTTTATCGAGCTTATTGGTATCTTCAATATTTTTAACATTTTAATCTTGAAAACCTAAATAACCATGATAACTAGTAACCCATGGTAACATTGCGAAAAACGACATAAGGAGCAAAGAATTTGGAAATAGCATGGAAGGGCGGAAACATACCATATCATGCAATTTTTAGGAGCATTCAATTGATTTGTTTAAAAATTGGGCAGGCATAAGACAACGATGACTTGAAAAGTTTTAAACATTCGTGTTTTAGGACAAAATGAATACATTCTTCAAGATGTCTGGCAAAGTTGAAGACAGTGAAGCTGGGGAAATCTCAATGTGCCCTTTGTACGAAGACCAAGACAACGTGGGGCAAGAAAACCAAATCGACATTAATTATCGAACAGAGATTTTAACTGTAATCTAGCTGTAGAAGCGATGATATGTGGAGGGTACTTACCTTTTGCGAACCAAATAAGGAGCGCATTTTCGGTCTCACAATAGGTAAACAAGGTACAATGGGTACAATATAGGTATGTTGACAATGTTAGGGGCGATGAATGGCACCTGTGCAAAAAACTACGATGTCTGCTAAAGTCACTTGGACCACTGGGCAAGCGAAACTGTGTATTCATATTATGCATTTGTTTTCCTATATATCACTACTTCATCCCTCCCCTCAAAACATTACTGATAGTCTAGGAAAATGTCATACAAGCCATACGAAAGAAAGAACTTCCCAATTTCGTGTATGCTTTATTTATTAAAACAAACATTGCTTGAATTGGAAAAGGGGTGGCTAAATTTGCTTTTGAAACAGCCTTTAGTGTTCCAGGACTTTTGCAGGGGTTGTAATTCTCCAGTTGATATGGATCGATCAGAAAAAAATTCGATGGCAATGAACCTAGACAGGCAAGGAACAATGCGTCGTTAGATCATAATTGTTTGCCGGAAAATCTTCTTTGACTGATCGATTCAGCAAAGAAAGTTAGATCTTGAGTAACAGCAGTTCTGCCTAAAATTGTGCAGCTTGCCAGGAAGAAAATATATATTCTTAAAACCATGGGAAAATATGGGGAAAATGAAAATTATTAAGGCTTTTTTAAAAAAAATGGCAAACGAACTAAGAAATGGTTCTTGAAGAAATGACACAAAATCTCATGGCAGTAATAAATGGACAGCTATTAGCCTAGCTTTAACAACTAATTGTTCAAATAACAAAGTGTTGATAGTTAAGTTAAAACGTCATTAAACTTGTTATTAAACCTGGTTTTTATACATAAGACAGCTTTCCAATTAGTTCACAGTAAAGTCGTGTAAGAAAATTTCATCCACGCATGAATAATTAATGTGGGACCGAATATATATTGTTGGTTATTTTTGCTAGAAACACGAAGTAGATTTGATGAATAAAAATGTGAATATGCAAATAGGTTAAGAATGGTTTTTCAAGGAATATTGGTTAAAAGGATTCCTAGTTTGAGACAACGTGTCTTATTGCACACTCTCAGCGGTATTTTTTTGACAGTGGCTTAGGTGTGGCAATGCAAAATGAGAGGAGCGTCATACACGTCAAATTTTGTATAGCTGAAAAAGGAATTGCCACTGTTATCCTCATAACTCAAATCAGGTCAATTGCAAGAAGTAAGGAAGGAAAGGATATTTATGAGAGGCAGAAGACAACTGTCGTATTTGGGATAAAATTCTGCATACTTTAATGCAGTGACTTTTAACTAAGAAAATACATCTAAGCATATAACCAACCTAGAATCCAGAGGGGTGCAGGCAGGAATGATTTTTTAGAATTGCCTAGTCACTAAAATTGCATATTTCTTGAGCAACATCTGTGAAACACATTGTATTTTTAAATTGAATTAGCCTACGAAAAACAAGATTTTTCAACGACGAAAAGTGTATATAGTTAAATTCAGTTAAATCAGACATTTAAGGTGAGAGGGGTGGGGTGGTTCTGATTTGTCTCGTGACATCAGACCTCCCATGTGGATGTTTTTGGGCTCTTCAGCCTCGTCTGTATTTGTTTGTAAAAGAAACATCATAGGGGTAACATTCCTAGCAGTAGGATTATAAACAATAATGGAAACCAACTTGATGGCAAAATATAATTCAGGAAAAACATGGAACTTTATGGGAATGTGGAGTATTTTAAACCAGTTTCGCTACAAAAAACTTTAACCTTGTTGAAAGTTAATTGACTTATACTCACAGTTCTACTCGCATCGTGTAAACTTATTCTACTTATCATAAATAAAACTTTTTTTACATTGCTGAAAGCTCAAGTGATCAAAGAATTTTCTCTTATTCGTCATCGAGGTTTTAACTGGTTGAGGCATCTTTGTCAGTTTGTTTATTGTTCTCAACTGGCACATTCCCATTAACTATTCTATTTTTGGCATCAGACAGATGTGTCTCACCTTCTGCATCGATGTCATTCTCTTTTCGATTTGACGTCACTACAGATTTATTCTTCTCTTCAGCTTGATCTTTTTCTTTGTCTTCAAGCCCAGTGTTTGCATCACTACCCGCGAATAGTTTACCACGCTCAGCGCCCTCATTTGGTTTTGCAAGTTCATCATCTTCGCGATGGTTAGATGCATCCAGATTCTTATCACCAACGCCATCATGGAATGCCTTCTTGTCGAATTCCATGGTATCTCTTTCTGTGTCCTCCTTATTGTTTTTTAGCATGGGTGAAGATGTTTTGGGATTTTCAGCCTCACCTTTTCCCGGTATTTCCACAACCTTGCTGAAGAATGTATCGCCCTCTTGAAAGTCACTTTTCGTTCTAACAGTTGGCGTGGGCAGTGGGGTAGTTTCGACTTTTGGTTTGGTGGATGCAGGTTTGACTTCGGTTATTTTACGAGAAGTTGAATTGTTCAGCTTTGAATCGGATAACTCGACTTTCACGTGCTTCTTTGTCTGTGTTTTACCCTGCTTATGAAACATTTTCAATTTACTCCTGCTCCCACTTTGACTAGCATGTGATTTCTTATGCTTCTTATCAGGTGATTGATCTTCTGCAACATTAAATGAACATTTAATTAACAAAATTGATAAGAAGGTCTAATGAAGATGTTAGGCAACAAAATTATAGGTCCAAGTATACGTATCATATTATGGTGTTAATGCTATGCATCTATTGTATCATAAAATGTCACATATTTTGGATCATAGCCGTATTGTAAACAAATTCATACGGAGAAAGCTTCTAGATTTACACAAATATAAACAAAAGTTTATGTCTTCTAATGAAGTTAACAAAATACCTGCTTCCTTCTTTTCCATCTTTTCTTCTTGCTCAGATTTTAGCGATTTGTTTTTTTTCTTACCTTCGTCTTTTTTCTCATCTTTATCTACATTTTCACTTTGATCCTTGGCAGACGATGTAGAGTGAGAATTTTGACACTTCTGCAAATCCTTTCTCGATTTAGCACTATTGGCAAAGAACATTAATTTCCTCTAACTTGTATTTTCAAAAGTTGTCAACAAAATAAGTCAATCTAGTATGGGTTATCTACAAATCTTACCAATAGAGTTCTAAAGTGATGACGTCATAAAAATCTATTTTTAGAATTTACGAATTGGCTCATGTCAAATGCGTTACGAATTGGCTGGGATATGGCTACATGTGTATTGGCTCTTTCCCCATCAAACCTCTGTATTTTGGTCTGTGTTCATAACTTTATGAACAGTGATTCGTTAGCAAACTTCAAATCTTTCATTGGCAATATTTCAACTGATTTTGGGTATATCTGACTATTTTTGCAGGTTTGGAAGTATTTCATGATGATCTTTTTGTTAAATGGTTAAAATTCAAAAATTCTAAAAATAGATTTTTGGTGATGTCACACTTTAGAACTCAGTGGCAGTTAAGTATTGATTCCAAAATTCAGAAGATATTAAATCTAGCTTGTGCTTTATTCTTGGTTAACCATTTAATTCCACAACTGTAAAAAGGTCTTGCTGCACTTGCAAAACTGTGAGACATTGAATATTCGAAATATAAGTGGATTAGTCACTCTAATAATTATTATTCACAGGGGATCGGTTGGCCAGTATTTTAGTTTGTATTTCTCATAAGTCATAGCAGACTAGGATGGAATTAAAAACAAGTTAAAAAAGTGATCAAAAAATTCTTTTTGATAAAAGGATGGTAATCACAGTAAAAAATACCACTTGGTGGGAGTGCTTCTTTAATAATAAAATTACAAATATCTGTAATAAATTATTGGCAGGTCATCTATATTTATTTTCAAACAGTTTTGGTGGCAATAAAGTTCCATCAACCAAGCCATAGCTTTATGTGACTTTTGTTAAAGACTCATTGCTAACAATAGGTCTTTGCGAGCGTGGCGATGATCCAAACAATGGCAGTAAACTGTCTTCAATGGGAGTAAATTGATTTCAGACTGTCTAAAAATGCATTATGGGCTTGCGTAGCGCAATGGCTTGTTAGCAATGACTCTTTAAGAAAAACACATACTGTGAAAAATCAAAATTGGAAAATAATCAGATTAAGTTTTAAGAAATTAATACTTACAAGTCCTCAGCCAGACTTATTTTGTCTTTCTCTAATTCTGAGTATTTATCTTGAAGTTTTTGATAATCAGAGCCAGTTGACTTCAATAAATCTGCAAAATATTTGTAATATTTTTATGACAGAAAGTTTACACCAACAAAGAGGCATTTGCAATGAAATTATTTTCAATCAACAGCTTTAGAGTATCAATTTTTGCCACCCCAAGTATCTACACAAGCATTTGTCTTCCCTTAGCAACTGTAGGATTGCAATAAATTGCCCAAGACCCACAACAAGGCTTTAGAAATCACAAGCAAAAAGTATGGTAAAAAATGAATCAGAGAAATTTGGAGAGACAGTTTCTTTAAAAGCTTCTTACTAAGTAACCCAAGACTAAACAAGGTCATTGAGAAGGCAAACAGTTGCTTCTGTATGGTGTTTTAACTTGCCTATGTATAAGTCCAAATTTAGATTTTCTTTATTTGTATTTGTTACTACCTAGAATCTGAAGTTAGGTTTTAGGTCCTGGTCCAATAATCCATAGTGTCTTGACCTTCCTCTTAGTGTGACCACACCTCACGTTTGGAATTACAGAGAGCTGACCACTCTCCTCACTCTAAGTCAAAGTTTCACTATGGCAGGCACTAAAACTCCAGAACCTTGGATCAACCAGAACCATAGAATGCAATGACAACTGAGTCACCGTGGCACTAAATATTTGTGACCAAATTGAATTGTCAGATGGTACTTTTGCCAATAGTTTTATCAAATTACAATACAAAGTCATTAGTTTAGATTGTAATTCAGATAATTACAGCTTCTATGTAATGGCTGACAAAGTGTCGTCTCAGCCTATGTACACAAAATGAATGATTATCTAGATTCTCCCACATCCAATCGTCAATTTGAATTGATTTCCTAAATTCATTATGTTGAATTTCAAAAAAACCGGCTAAAACAGTTTTTAATTAAATTATAGAAAGTCTCATAAACCTTTCAAAGTATTGAAACAGTCCAATAAAAGTTAACATTTTGAACTTTTTAAAGTGACTTTTTCAAGTTTTTTCATCAAAAGCCTTCCCAATGTTATGAAGTTTTGTTCAATTAGTTGCCAAAAGAATTGATGGTTTCAAAAAAGTGATGGAAATTTAATGATTATTGTTTACTTGACATTACTTATCTGTCAAGCTTTAATATGATAAAATTAGTTTCCAAATGTAAATGTTAAAGGGGGGGGGGGTGTACATCTACCCACTGTAGAAATACAGGGTCAAGGAGAAAGGTACATATAAAGTACCTCAGAAAATTATTTGTTGCCAGGATTCAATATATCAACTACAAATCTTAGCAACAGACCTGAGCAGTACACATATTTTTATTCTGGCAAGGTTTAACTTTTAAACAAGTGCATCCCAAGGTCAAAACAACAGGTGCCCTGATGGAACTGTCACAAAATATGATTACCTTTGAGATGTTTAATCTTTGCAATAAATATATCTTTATCATCAGCTGGGCCAATATTCTCCAAATTGACATCTTTTAGCAAACCCAAAAGCATTTTCTATAAAAAAACATTAAATTGATTAAATCTAAAAATTATTTGCTAGATCTGAAAATCAAGCACAGTCAATATAAAAGATATATGCTACACTTAGTGAGTAAAAGTATTTCACAGGCTTGACAAATACGTAATGGTTGTGACAAATCAAAGCTTGAAATCAACTTGGCCACCAAAATTTAAATCACTTTTGTGAACCCATAAGGTATCATTAAGTACTTAAAGATCAATCACACAGAGCATCAAACCACTGGTAACACTAGAAATTTAGAATTTGAAAGAAGTTACTTTTTTAAAAAGTAATAAACGCTTACTTATTATTGGCCAGTATTGAAGCTTTGAAACCTTTATTAGACATTTGTGAGATTTCTCCCAACTTTTTGAGAAAATTAAAATAAAAAAGTCTTGCAAAAAGTGTTGGGGGTAGCAATTCATTGTTAACACAGTCAGCCATTCTTTATGAAGACATTTCAACACCATTGAGGCACTTGAGTGTACCGGTTTATTCCAGAAGCTTTGGTCCTTTCATTCAATGAGGAGACAAAATGTTGTTACAGCATTTTGTTTTCTAAGCAACATGGCAATGGATTGGAAAAGATTGGCTTGAGTATTTTTAATTCATTGCTTGTCATGCATTAAGGGGCCACAAGTGAAAAATTTTTAATAAGGAAAGTTTATAAAATCATAATAGAAAGCTTTAAAAAGATAAGGTTTTTAAGGGAATTTTACTATAATTAGCAAGTTTTAGAAGTTCTACTAGCGTTCAAGAGGAATTTTGTCTGCAATATTTTCCACCCTTTCAATCTATATGAGATCATTCAGTCTTCTGGTTGAAGTAGCTGCTCTTAAAAGTTATCTACAATTTTCACCTTAGTATGTGTTCCTTCAGATGAAGCAACAGACACAGGGAGAGTAGCCACTTTCCTTATGATTTGAAACATGTCTGCATGCTATTTGAGCAGATCATTATTGCTGAATACATAGCCTGCCCCCCTGGCCCTCCATAATCTCACTAATTGCTCTTAAGATTAAAATGAACATCCTCTTATCTTAATTTTTCAAAAAAATAAACCCTAATAAAACAAAAAAAATGACATCCATTATCCAGACCCCTTGTTTATCATTTTCTACCTTGTGCAAGGTTTATACAACCATAAAGAGGCACATCAAGAACAAAAGGAAAGAGTAAAACCATATTAAAACTGAATATTTTTGTTATACTGTTATGCTATAAATCTCTTTTTCATGTTTAAGAAACCAGCATCTATATTACATATAATCTATATTCCTTCTGCTTCCAAATTAAAGGGACTGCTAACCTATTTTGGCAATATTTACCCTTTAAAAGGAAAATTGGTTTGAACAAAAGAGAAACCATTCACAGAAATTAGCTTTTTCCCAATCCATTCCTAAAGACTGATTTAAATCTAATAATGGACCAAAGATATGACAAAAGAAACAGCCAGTTATATTGCTGCAACTAAAAAATTGCTGCATGATACCTTTACGCCAAAGTCTTTTAGAAATAATGTCTTGTGGCCATTGTCTGTAAGCCGTATGTTTAGCTTTGCTTTTCTATTCACATGTATGTAAGTGGCTTTCCGGGCCCCCAAAAGCATTTTCATTTGTTCTTTTGTTTGTTACCATAACTTTCTTTAAGTGAATCAATCAATCATTGACGGAATATGTTGGAGCGCCCCTAAGGTATTTTCACTATGTTCCTTTCAGCAAAATTTAATACAATGAGCAACTTTTCCACTTTAAGACATTTGACACTGCTTGCCAATCTTACATTTGTGGCAATGAAGTTGTAAATTTGTCTTTCTGTTTGCCATGTTTGAATGTTTTTTCTTTATTTTATATTAAAGCCCAAAATAGCTGGAGCCCTAGCCAGGTGACCCTCTGCATGGATAGAACCATATTTCTATCCATGCAGCGGCTTGTTCTTAGGGGTAGACAGCTATTGGTTGATTTTTTGTGTGATTGCTGGTGGCTCTTACTGACAACCACCTTTTGAATAGGAATGTGATTCAATTAACATGAGGAATGTCAGCAAATTTATGAGCCTCTTTTAGGTAAAGGTTGATACAATGAATTAAAACTAGACTCTCTATAAAAAGGTGACAAGAATTTTGAAGTAAAATAAGAAATAGTTAATATTCAAGAACATTTTTTTATATGAGAGCTCTAAACATCTAGGTTCACTGCCTTAAACATTTCCAAAACATCGCAATTACTCGGATTCACTTGTAAATAAAACATAGGAGGTCAGTCAGTCTCAAAAAATAAAATAAAATGACTTCCAGTATGTCAAGAGTACCTCAGCACAAGTATGAACACATAACTTCATTTTTAGTCATTTTTTAAATTCTTGGATCCTGGTTCACACTTGAATCCAAATCCAGAGTTAAACTGGACTCTTACTTTACATGTTTGATGTATATGACAGAATGAATCTACACATTTTCACATTTTATGGAATTACCAGGCACTTTAGTACAAATAAAATAAAAAAGGCTTTGGTTGGAAAGGCATGTGATCACATGCGCACGGCCTGGCGCACACCTTCTGCTTTCCAGGAGTGCAAAATATTACAAGCCTACTTTTATTTTGAGAGCAAAATTCATAATTACTGGTTTTGTGGGTTTTTGAGACAGGTTTAAATGTTTACCCTTCCTTGGTTCTATTACTTCATGCCACTTAAAAAAGGCTTAACACCTTGTCAGGACTGTGGATAAATTAAAATTTTGACATATAATCATAGGACTAATCTACAATAAATCCCAATAATATGAAACCAATACAAAAATAATTTTACGATATGACAACAAATGTCTGGCCTCTTGGATTCTGCATAACTCTGTACAAATTTTGTCGGTATGACAAATCCGTTATTTAATGAGCTCTCGTTATCAATAACCTAACTGTAGGTCCAATCATCATAATTTTCCTCAATATGATCAATTTTTTTTAAAACAAATTTCAGTTATTTTGGTCTACATTTCCCCGGTATATTTTCATCACCATTTCTTGGGGGAATCATTATCGCCATCATCAAAATATATACATTGGCAAACATGTACTTTTATGATTCAAAAAATTGGAGAGAAGAGATTTGTGCAAAAAGTTTACACCTTTTCAAGGCTTTATGGCATTTTAGTGAACAACACCAAACACAGAAGACTATAACAGACATTTTTGTTCCCAAATTTTAAGAGAAACATAAATTTTTGTGAACAACACTTTCACTTTGGATCACTAATTTAGCCAGAGTAGCCGATTTGCAGATTTCACTTGTAGTGTGACCAGTTCTAGCATAATATTATGATTTTAGCATAATACTGGCCAAAAATCATCATTTAGCATAAAATCATATTATTTAAAAAAATCATTGTTTTCATTATTCCATTGTCTATCATTACCAGATACAAACACTCTACACCAGCATCTGTGGTTTTCTTTGGGAGTAAATTGTGACTTTCCAATTTTAGGATTTTGCCAGATGTTTGGAATGGTTGGCAGACACAGTATACAAAAAGCTAATTTTTTGCTACTTATGTGGAGTGATAACATAAACAAAATTTGCTTTTTAGGTTACAAAAGTTTTCATCTGCTTTTATCTTAAACTATCTGTTATCTTTTATTTTGTTTCTTCATTCATCATTTGCAATTTTTATATTGTTTTAAACAGTTTTGAATATTATGTGCATAAATTTTGTTTCCTTTGCATTTTTGTTGTTTTTTGTAACATGCGGTCAGAATTCAGCCAAACTTTGCTTCTTTGGCCAAATCAACTTATGATGGCCAAAGGATTTTGAGAAACTGCCAAAATGGAGTAATTTGGCCATCAAAACCATTGATCAAAATTGCCTTTTCATTTATGAAGAATGAGTACATTGAGTTTAAGATGAGACCCAAATGGCAACTCTGGTCATTTTTGATATTCTGAGCACGTGTTAGCCTCTTTCTTGAGCAGGGTTGCCTTGATTTGAAAATTAGCATAATTTTTGCAAATCTAGCACAATTTTATGACAATTTTGGCATATTTCCAAAATTGAGATCTGGTCACATTGTACTACCCTCCTACACCTCCTTCTTTAGACTTCCCTATGCTCTAAATCTAGATGTCGGTGACATTTATTTTAATGAAAATGGTCCATATTTATAATATATGCATATAATTTATGGATTATTGACATCTGGCCATAAAATTATAATTCTTGATAACAGAGAGCCAGACAAATACCAGGCCCTCAATAACTCTGCTAAGGATTCATTATTGAAACTGATGAAAACTGCTTATGACATGGCAAACATTTTTCTGTCACACGCCACCACAGGACTGTTTGCTTGCAGGCTTGCCGTGGTTAGCATGCCTGCTATATATTCCCCACAAAAGCCAGAATGAAATGTGGTGCTTTTTAGTAACTCTTCTGATTAGAATGGAAAAGATTAGTACAAGTACAAATCTTACTACAAAACATGTCCAATTTTTTGCTGAATCAAATTTATGCAGAGAATAGCTTATACAAAACAGCATGTCTCCAGCCTAACTATTTGGTCTGCTTTAGGTTTATAAGAATCACTTATTACATATAATAGAATTTTACTTAAAATAATTACCAATAGTATCAACAGACACATCACAGTGTTTTCATCACAGTGTTTTCAAAATGATTTCAAATTCCATTCAATTTGAATTTGGAGCTGTATCCAAGGACATAATTATATGGAATTTGTGCTAACAAAATATATTTCAATCATGATTGGTTGCCAATCAAGGGTAGTGTTTCCTGTTTATTCATGGCTATTGTTTGTTGAGTTTCAAAATTAGAGAAGCATGTTTGTTGAAATAAGAGAAACATGAAAGATCAGTTTAGGTGACCAATAGCAATTAATACACCTCCTGTATGTTTTACAGTTGTGTATGTTAGTACTTTGCTTCACAGCTAACCTTAAACTGAGCTAATTAACTATCTTTTGTTAATTGCAAGTAGATTCTATTGGAGTTGTTTAGTGAAGCGGTTCCATTACGTAGCCAGGCAATTTATGAAGGTCTACTGGAATTTTGAATTGAAAAAGGTACATCTGATTACTTGAAATTGAAAAAGCACACGAATAATGCAAGAATAAATAAAAATCGACTTTATTACAGACCTCTCTTTGCAAAGAGGCGTCTTCGCACTTCTTTGCTTTATTTTCTGCAACATTGTAGGTACTAGTTAGTGACTCCAAATCAGAGGAGCATTTACTTCTTTGCTTTTGTTCTGCTTCTGCATTCTGTTTCTCAGTTGTCATTCGCTCTTCCATTTCAACCATTCGATTAGAAAGCAGTGTATTTTTCTTTTCCATTAAGTTTTTATGAGTTGTCATGTCCTTTAGTTTGCTATAAGTGGTGACAACTAGCCTCTTTAGTGTTCTACTTTCGGATGAAAGATTCCAGGAATAATACGACAAAATACAAATAACAACAAATGCTCCAATGATTGCTACAGTGGCTTGTCCATTCTTTCGAGACATATTTCCACCGACGTGATGAGAAAACATTATTCCTTCAAACGTGCATTCCAACCTTCAGCAGCTCTCGCTGACACATAACAATCCGCTGTTGTTTTCCATTTACCTACCGATAATCAAGTTGAATTGAATTGAATGACTGTGTCTAGGGGGCGTCAGTCGAAACATCAGGGGGGTGGCACGTGAATGGCTAGCCTGTGCTCCATACCCCTAACTTGAAAGTTGAGTCTGCTTTCAACTTGAGTACAGGCTAAAAGTCTCAGGCTCCGATCTCAGACTGGACACTTTCCAATCTCGAAAATAGGAAATAAAAAAAGAACGGAGAGGAGGAATATTCCTCTTGCTGCTTTTGAAAGCACTTGCGGAATTTTACAGTGTGAAATTTTTACCTTTCAAAAATTTTACGACCAACAAACAATATCGAACCTTTGAGAAGTATATTTCCTTAAAATTACGATATGATGTGTTGACAAGGAATAGTCGATAATTTAAAATGAGAATGCTAGACTGCAATACAAACATAGGTAAACACGAAATATAAATGTAGTAAGCGTGAATATATTGCTAGCTATCACTTGAAAAGCATGCCATGTGTAATTTTCCCGTAATTTTGCAGTCTTCAAATACGAATACAGCAGCGTTGTTCTCGTCATTTAGCTTACTTGATTTATCCACGTCCTCAGGATGCTCATCATCAAGCATAATAAGGGCCCCTTGTTTTCTGTGTTTGGAAATGTATCATTTGAGTATTCCCTTGTTTCATTGCTAGGACTATAGTTTTCGTTGATTAGATAAATAAGCCATTCTCCGGTTCATATCAGCTATTCCTGAAGAAACCGAGTCCGTAAATGCAAGTTGGTTGATTGGTTTGCAGTGCCGTCGGAACGAAATTCATATTGGGGGGGGGGGCTGCCCATTGTTTTCCTTCTCATTCAGTACACTGTTGTATAGGAAACATACTACAGTTTGAGAATTATTGGGGGCTCAAGCCCCCCTGGTTCCGATGGGCCTGGTTTGTATGACCATTTGCGAAGTAAAACCAGATCTGAACAAAACAGGCTTGGATGTATGTGTCTGGAGTTAATGACGCTATCACAAAAACATGAACCAGATGACGCTGAAACAGATGACTGATGACAGTGTTTTGTTTATGAGCACGTTATTGTGGGTGCTGTGTAATGAAACTTGAAGATATTGTCTTAAATTTCTTGGCGTCTTTTGTATTTTGTCCGAAACAACCGATTGGATAAATATTTGTTTGAAATCTTCTGTCCGAAATTTAACGTACAAAAATAAAATGTCCGAGATTTTTCGGGATTCATGAAGGACTAGCAGTACATATAAAACATTATTTAGCGTCTCCGTTAATTAGTCTGTCTGTAAGTCTTCAATAGTATTCTATGGAAACTGAAGATCAGAGCTAGCATAAGGATAACATGATTACATCGTCATTTTTGCGGACAACCTGCCTAAATTTTACCCATTTACAAAGCCCTAACAAAAGGAAGAAGTGAGATAAACTAGAAAACGAAGGAGGTGAGATTAAGTATGCTGATTATAGCTTTCAAAGAATACAAGTTAGGAAATAAGAAGAGGGTTAAGGGTTCCAAATGTCTGGGAAAGTAAGATGAGTTATCGGAGTAAATCATGGTGTTTTGGCAATGTTTCAGAGGTCCAGGGGTGAGCAGCATCCATTTTTGTATTTGGAAACATCGATAATTAACTGTTATCTTATTGATAAAACAAAAATGTCAATAAATAAAGCAAAAAAGTTTAGAAAGCAAAATATTTTGTCTATGAAATTGAATGATTTGTCTGGTTGCAACTTGGTAAAACAGTCAAACGCTGTAGTTTTGTATGCAGATTGTTTTGGACTTATGTAATCGCCAAGAGTTGACATCAAACTTTGTACGTCTACTCATATCTTTTATGGAACAAAATTCCAAAAAGGTTTATATTGAGAATGCATTCATATCATAGGTCTTCTTTGGCAAGATCAATTTCAGTTTAATCTTGCTTACAAATGAAAAAAAATCACTAATCCACTAGTTCCGTTAGTTCTCTATCATTTTCAAGAACCACTTCCTACTTCCTTCACTCCTACCAAAGGCATGAAATTGTTAAAAGCGATCTTCTTACATCAGAATTTAAAAAATTCGAACACTTATTCATTAGGGACATCTCCATTTGAAAGCTCTTTCAGATTTTCAAGTCCTTTATTAGCAAAGCCAGAACTTCAAATGTTCCGTTTTACTCTTGATCGGATATGAAGTTACTGAAAACATGAATTATATCTGAATGGATGTTTTTCATACTTCAAACAACTTTCATACTTGGAGCATTAATGGATGTATACCGTGGCTGTGCAAGAATGATTTCAAATCCGGTTAATTTTACATATAAAACGATTAAATCCAAGGAAATAACTGTTTGAGATGTACAGAATCAAAGGTGTTACGAGCAACCTTTTCCCACAGCTTCGAATAGCTCGTATCTGAACCCTTCATTCGCCTTCATGGCCTCAAAACCTGTTCCATGAAGTAGCTAATCTTTGAAGCCAAACGCTTTCCCATGTGCAGGCCAAACCACGTGACCACCTGAACAACCAGTTAACGGCTCATTGGATATTCATTGACCAGATATCCTCACAATACTGCGTTAGGTATTTTATACACTGAAAAATATTATATATACAAGAAAGATTATAGAAGCAAGGAATATCGACGATTTTCAACAGAAACGCCAGTGGATAGGGTCACGTGGAGAACTGCAAATTCAAGCCCTAACTGATTGTAGTCAGTGCTAGAGAAATGTCGAAAATAATTTCATGTCGGGTATTTCCATTGACAATATTTTTATTGTTTTCTGTAGCTAATATCGTGCATGGCGTGAAAGTTAAAAACATTACAGCCGCCATCGAAACATTGAGACCCGATGTGAAGGAGCAAGGTGACTTTCTCTTCGAGGAATCTTCGTCCGTGCCTGAAATCGCATTCGAGTTTTCAAGCAGCAGTGTTCCTGCAATTAATCTTCGACTTTTGCTTCTGATGTCATGCTTTCATATTGTGCTGTGGTTTTGCATTTTAAAAGGATGATTTGGTTGTTTATTACAAAACGAGGATGCTGAAAAAGCGTTCAATTGATGCCTTCTGGCTTGAGAATGTGATCTAAGATGAAACAGGCACAGTGAAACAAATGACCAAATTCAGACTGCTACGCCAAAGACAAAGCGTATCATGTCTAGCTGTGAAGATGAGCAATCAATACATGAGAACTGCCACGGAACCAATAGAGAATGGCTACACATAAAAGACACTGCGCTTAATATAATTGGGGTTCTCATCAAATTGTGAGCAGTCACAAATATGTGCTATGAACAAATCACCAACATTAAGAAGATTCTTCAAAAATGCATCTTTACAAAAGGTGGAAGGATGCACAAAACACAAAAACAAAGCTATGGTTAAATTTTTTTTGCATTCTAGGGTCAGAATGGATAGTTGATTATGAGAACCTAAGACATATTTTAAAAGGACGTTCTTCGTGTATTTCATCTAGGTCTCTACTTTTGTGATAATTATAAACAGAAATCAATTGTGTCCCATCGAAAACAATGCAGATTCTGAAAGATGTATTCAGTGCCAAAAGTACAATATATGATACTGTTATTAAGTCCCATTTTCACTCAGGATCTTTATGATTGATTGTTATACTTCGTATCTATACTAGCACTGTCTCGTGGTTTTTCCATAAAATTTATTCTCGGTACATACTGGCTAGCTGTGGCAAGAGATTGATGGGGAAAATACAAAGGAAGGGCCTTATAAGCGCTCTAAATGATTGTCTACAAACAAGCAGGTTCTATGAAATTTTCAAAATAACTGGAAATGCTGTGTAAAACTGTGTTTAAAAGATATCAACGAATTGAAAACAACAGTATAAATTCAAAACATATAAAACTTAACGAAGCAGTTATCTATGTCCATTTTCAGAGAAGGATGGTTTCTTTGCTCTGCCAACCTGCGAAACAAAAACACTGTTAGAGAATGAACTGCTAGAAAACGTTCTACAATTTACAAGGGAAAGGGACGACCATTCTATCACCTTTACCAAGACATGTAGCTCTAATTAAAGAAATTCACGAGGAAACCAATTATATTCATTGTTTTGCTATGTTTTACACACGAATATACTTCCAAATGCAATAGTTTCAGGAGTTAAAGCGTGTGAAATGAAGTTCACAATATATGACTAGGGCTTAAATGATCTTTGACTCGTGATGGAGTTTCGTGTAGCTCCTCAAATGTATTATTGAGTATTCCATATCAACCCTGAATCAAATTAAACTTGGTTTGACTTTTAAATCCAAAACTTCACTAATTTAGCATTATCTTCACTGACATAGCACGTAGTTTTCAGAATCCTTATTTGTTGCTCTACAAGTTGTAAACCTACCAATTGCCGTTTTAGTTTTTATCAATGTGTAAAATCTGATGCACCCTTCTAGAAAGCGTTAAAAAAATTGAAAATAGGGAGTTTTTCTTGACCTTTACCCAGGCTTTCAAACCCAAAATAAACCATTATATTCATGATGTTTTTCTCAATAAACTGCACTTATTCAATCATTCTGCGAAATTTCAATAGTATATCAGACCAACCTAATGTCATTTTTGAGCATTAAAAGGTGATTCTTTCTTTTAAGTCCCCCTCCCCCTGTTTGGCTTTGCATGGCTATTAATAACTAACAGCAGCTAAAATTGAATGGTACTTGTGATTTTAAAACTAGCTACAATAAACAACCAACCAGCATTAATACTGCAATCGCTAGACATTAAAAAACATAAATTTACCTGTGACTTTGCTAATTCCAATTTCAATATGGATACCCTAGAACGCTCTTGCTCCAACAGTGAATGCATTTCAGAAAGCTGTAAGGAAAAACAATTCTTACAATCAGCACTAATTCATTTGATCAAAATTTCTGTTTTCTTTATCGACTTCTCAGTTGCTCCCTATTTTGAATGGCTTATTGACCGGCGAATGCAATAAAGACTGATGCTACAAATGAGCAAAGTATCAGCGATTTCAATTGACATATGTCAGATTTTTATGGGATAACATCCAGTTTGACATACAAGCAACATCTGATAACGTAAACTGCACAGGTACAGCAAAATTTGTTCAGATTGTTGGAAGGTGGCATAACTTGGAATTGACATTGACATTGAATATAAACAACAAGGAATAGGATCTGTTGGTGTTAGGATACAAAATCAGCTGTGAATGTAAGTAAGGGTTTCGTTGGCAGTCTAACGATCACATGTACACCACCCTTAAGTTATGAATCTTATCACTCCCTGATTGAAACGAAAATACGAGAAATGGATATGAGCGAGGTTCAGTACATTCCTGTTCAAGAACAGCATGATTCAGAATCGTACTGCACACCTCGAAGACAGGAATAGTTGAGTATGGTGAAGCTAAATTAACAGGCATAGCTACTGGTTTAGGTATGAGGAATGGGATTAAAACTGTCAAATAAATTATATCGAAAAAAGTGCTTATTCTTCCAGTATTAACTTTTCAAGATCTGTTATGCAACATTTCTGTGGATAACATGTGCTAAGCATGTTTTCAACAACCTTAGAACATTGACAAAATAAACAAACAAACAAAAATGAAATGAACAAAATACAAAGGTTCCCATAGGGGTGTTATTTGATATTTCAGATGCTCTCTTTGATAACTCAATCTTAGAAACAACTGTTGACAGATGCATGTCAGACGACAGATCCCTTTTCTCAAAATAAAAATCGAGAGTATGTTGGGGGAGTATGTTTGAATCGCAGATATTTCAAATCAAAGTGGGGGTAAGGGTATGAGACAACAACACATCAAAGTAACTCTAGCATAGACCATCTCGGAGTTCGCAACACCATGACCCAAGTGGGGCAAAAAACCACAATAAATACAATTTTGGTATAAATCACCGAGATTTGTAAATTCGTTTGTAGCTCAAGTGAGGTCTTTTATTAATCAACGATATTCTAAAAGTGTTTTTCTATTTTCTAAAGAAGCTTCAAGGCCAAAGTAAAGGAAGTTCAGCCTCTATCCACCCTAAATTTTTCACTGGTTTGCCCCACCTGAGAGACTGGAACTAGCAATAGAACAATTGAATTCCATCAAGGCATCGCGAACTCCGAGGTAGTCTATTGTCGTTAAAACTAAAATAGGATACATAATAACTGGTAATGAAATAAAAATATAACCTCAGATGACAGTTCATCCTTGATATTTGTAAGTGTCTCGATCTGTTGCAAGATCTCCGATTTATCGCGCACTGCAAAAAGTCGTTCTGATTAGTTGAAAATTTGTATAATTGAAATTTGCACCATAAAATAAAAAGATGAAATTATTTGTTGAGCAATGCTATCTGTTGATAAGTATTTTTAAACCTATTAACATAAAGAAAAATAAAGAAGGTTAGATAATTGATCAGTGATATATAATGAAAAACAAACAACTTTTAAGCATGAACAAAATATGGTAATGATTTTCAGGCTATCTGTAGTTGATAGGTGTTATAAAAAAACCAATTAGTCACCAATTAGTCAATACAAAGTAAAGAATGCATAACTGAGGAAAATAATGACACAAGATTTACTAAAATATTTGGAAGAATTGCTTGGAATTTCCTGTAAATTTCCATTTATATTTTTGAAGAACAATCAATGAAGAAGTTGATAAAAAAAGTTCAGCATCTCAAAGGCATCGAATGTCATTTTAGATAGCATGTAAAAGAACACAAACACGAAGAGCCTAAGCAGCACATCAAAAAGCAGAACAACAAAGATAATTTTCTCTCTTACTTTCTCCTTGACCTAAAATAAAACACAACTGTTTGTTTCTTTTCTTCACTTCAGCTAATTCTTCCTGAAACGAAAAGGTTAAATCCATTGCAAAAGCGTTTATTATGAAACTTCACTTAAAAATTATTAGTTATTTAAAGCCAGTTGAATGATTCTTTGATTTTCTTCTCAAGTTTTGCCTTTTTCAAAGCCATTTTGAAATGAATAATGTTGTATAGAGTTTAGATACAATTTCACGAAAAATACTTGCTGACCAAGATAATTGGCCATGTTTATTCAGATGAAAAGCTTGTGTTCTAACCGACCATGATTAGAACTGTGATAAATGACCTTACATAGTAAAATTTAGCCCGAGATCAGGCCCGGACGGAGACTCGGCTGAAAAAAATTGGAAAATAAGAAAAAGAAAGGAAAAAGAATTTGCAGTAATGCCCATTGACAGTAAATCTATCACATAATTTGTGTGCATTTCGCGAGTGTGGATGGGTAGTGTTTGAGAGCTTTGGAGTGCAAACGAGGTATTGCATAATTATTCATAACGGAAACCAAAACTACGAATGAATCAAAGCCTTGCTACAAGCAGGTTGAATGGCATGTCTTCAGGCTCTCCTTTCCCATACTTCAACTCTTCCACCCCCGCCTCCTCCACCTGATCTGATAGAGCCTGATCTCAGGCTAAGTAAAATTTTGTAACATTTCAACCGAAAGCACCAAAAAATAAAGAATACGCAATAATAACCAAAACATCTTTAAAATTTGAAAAGACAGGCTTCTAACAGAAGAAGATGTTGCACAAGGTTGCATGTCGGGCCCACTACTGCGGCAAAGCATAAATTTGACCAACAATTTCAAAATAGAGTCTTTATTGAAAAAAGTAGAAATGATATTTGAAAATAGGCTAGTTAGTGGTGCTGGATTGTTTACCTTTGGTACCGGAGCCTCTATGAGTCACAAAGAGTAACAACAAGGGTTCATTACCATTTCCTCCTTTATTCTTACATATTTCACTTGCTGTGGTGCTAATACCCACGCTATAGTTTGCGTATGTACTCTAAACACTTCTAAACATAAAGATACAAATTATAATACCTATCAATACCAATTATATGTTTGCTTCCCCTTTAGCGCAACAGATAATGTAAAGATTTAAGGTAATTTAGAACGAAAGAAACAGTGAAAATGAAACTTTACCCTTAATTCGTCTATTGATTTTCTTAAAAGTGAATTTTCGATATCTCTTTTTTCAACTTCGTTCATCCATTGTTGTACGCTAGCAGGGTCGAGGGCTGGTGCCGTCTGTATGTTGCTAATCTGTCATTTGAAAAATGATAATGCAATAACCAAATAAACTTACCACCTAATATTGAAGAAGTTTAAGATATTACAGTCTCCTATTAAGGTATAAATTAATATTGCTGCTAATCGATGTTACAGAATGCACTAGGTCGTGTGAACCAAGCTCTGTACATATCATATCATATCATATAAATATTTAGGCACGATACCATTTTGTGCTTAGAAAAGGACGGTTCTAAGTAACTTCTCTAAACGAGGCCATCCCTAATGAGGTTCATGCATAATGGCAGCATCACACAATAACAAGTCTGAGATAATGCGGTTTCATAGGATAATCGAAATCAAGAAGCTTCATAAATAATGGTTTGCACTAGCAGGACATCTAAAACGGGGAATGGCAACTACAAAATCCAAATGACATAGCTACCCCGACTACACAATGCTCAACTTACGTTACTAGACCTTTGACATTTTACTGCATCGTATTATATAGAAGAAAACTGGGTATTACTGTTTTTTCTAATTTGAAAATAATCCTACAAAGAAACATAATTTCAGATCAAAAATATCATTTAACAGATGATATCATTAAATTGATTAGAGGGCCAAGTTTGATTTGGTTAGTTCCATTAGCGTCCTGGCACAGAGCATTCCTAATAATAGGGAGTCTTAAAACCTTCTGTAAATTCATTGTGATCATTACAATCAAGGTTGACGAATAGTTGCCCGATGATCGCAATGAGCGTGAAATTCGGAGTAGCAGCTTAGAACCGTCCTGTTCTACACGCCAAGTAGCGTGTACAGCTCTGCCTAGGGAGTCTTAAAACCTTCTGTAAATTCATTGTGATCATTACAAGCAAGGTTGACGAATAGTTGCCCGATGATCGCAATGAGCGTGAAACTCGGAGTAGCAGCTTAGAACCGTCCTGTTCTACACGCCAAGTAGCGTGTACAGCTCTGCCTATATGGCATAGCACTCTTTATGACAGACCCGTAAACAATTAATTTAATTGATATGCATGGCATTTAGATTTGAAGTTGATAAGGGTTTTAGATTCTATCTCGAACAACTAACTTGTATAAACTAGATAAATCGTGTGAAACATAAAATAACAAAAACCATTATAATTGTCATCACATCACCTTTTTAGTGTCCTCAGCTCCATTTAAAATTCCAACTTTGGGTTTAGCTGTATGAATTTTTTCCTTCTTTTTCTTGTGCTTTTTGGGTAAATTTTCAACGTTGTTCTTCGACAAATCGGGTACCTCATTAAAGCCTAAAATTCAATACAAAAAATAATCAGATCAGTGTACAATGCTGAATACCTATTATACAGAGCTTTGCTACAAAACAGTCTTTCGATGTAAATTCTTTAATCCGGAATTTTTCCAGTCAGGGATTCTGTTTACACTGTGTTGGATCAATTCGGATCTACAAAAAATAATGCTGCTAGAAAAGCAAACAGAAATTTGGGCAGCATAAAGAACATACTGATGTTAACGGAAGCAATTTTAAAGGAATTCTTGCTTTTAAAAGGCCCTATAACTACGTTCAACGTAGACCGCGGAGAATAAAACTATTTAAAAAGAAAAAGATATTTTGAAATTCAGAAGAAAGAAAAAAAAGTTGCGAGGATACCGGGTAAGACAGGAATTTTATATTCAGGCTGGAGAAATTTCGAAAAGGTAAAGATACAAGTAGAGGATTTAGAGAGTTTGCAAATAAGCAAAGACTACTTTAATACGAATTTGACAAACTAGGTCTATTCTTTTGGAAACAAATTTGATTTCAAGGTATTATTTGGATGCATCCATTCATCAGCTCAGAAAATAAAATTGCGTTCAAATATACAAATATTGATCAAACATCCGCTCTTTTGTACCTTTAACAGTCTAATACGGTTGGGACTAAAAAGCCTAAGTTAAATTACATAGCTGTATTCAGAATTAAACAAATCATCACAAAGTGTCTACCTTTTTTATCACTAGAATTTCCAGTTCTTTCCACCTGTTCTTGAAACTCGTCTAATGATAATTTAACACTGTGATCTTTCTTCTTCTTTGTTGAAATAGTTTCCACACTCTTTTCTACCTATAATATAAAAAGGTTATAATACAGCTTTGCAAACATCATTAAAAAGAAAACTAAATTGAGCCGGCAAAATGATTTTTTTTAATGTATCACATTTCTCGAAAAAAAGCTATCGAACAATTTGCATGTTTTTATTATATTCCAACAAAATTTATTCTCGTCTTTTCATGACTAGAGACTCTTTATATCAGAATATCAATTAATCTTTTGTTTTTCATTCTTTGGTGAAAAAAGAAGGAGCATATCTAATGCATATTAAACTCACCAATCTTTGTTTCTCTTCTTCTAAACTTACTCTCAACGCTTCCTGCAATTGAGTCAAAACTAGAGTCACTTTGCTCACTAAACATTATTCTTCTGCACCTTGCCCGGGAGCTCAAGTGAAAAGGAAATGGTCCAGCCTAACAAATGTCAGAGTTATAAAGAAAGTTTTATACAGTAAAATACCCAAGAAATATAAGGGCAACAAGATTTGTTATGTATGGAGTCACATCTGGTGTTGTACTTTGTTAGCGACAGTCAAGCTGCTTTGAAAAATTATGCTTCCTTTTAAGAAGCTGGTATTTCTTGAAGTTTGCCAAACAGAGAAAACAAAGGAACAGCACTTCTTAGTGGAACTCAGCTTAAAAGCTAAGTCTGCTTAAATTTCCCTACTTAAAATTCTGGGTAGCATTGTTCTTTCATCATTCATTAGGACAATAAATTTATTGGTCCAGATCCTAGACTTCTTCTCTAACCATCACAATGTGGTCAGGCGACTGCAAGCAAACTATTTTTGTTTCTATTTGCCTAGCATTTATATTGCAAACATGTTGTCTGTTAAACACATGGAGCACGAAATTCGGAGTAAGAACTTAGAACCGTCCTGTTCTATACACCAAAATCGTACATTGCAAATCACTTTGTCAGACCACAACCCATGTTAGCAAAATATCATCATATAACATAAAATTGATTTTGTTATGTCATCATAAGCATATGCTCCTTTTGCTTCTTTAAAATTCCTATAAAACTAGTTTATCAAAACAGTATTTATTTCTTAACAATAACACTTGCTAGCGTTAAATAGCATTAAATGTAAAACACATTGAAATGAAGGGGGTGGGGGTGGGGGTGATACATTACTAAATTAGATATTAGTTTATAAAGAGTAGTAACAAAGTTTTGAAATTGCAACTTGCCTTGAGATCCTCTTGAAATTGGTTGACAATAAACTACAAAAAAGAGGAAAGTATATCATCTTACTTAAAGAATGAACCTTTAAAAAAAGGAAAACAGGAAGCTTTGGTTTTTACACTAGAAACATTTTGATGAGCATTTGATAGGTAAACTAGATGACACAAAGTTGTGGATTTAAATGAGTAAGTGAGGATAATTTCATTTTGATTGATCGTGTTTTGGTTTTGCATGATTTATAGCTTTGCTTCTTCTCCTGACACATGATACATCTATAATTTTTACAAGCAATTTCAAGCACAAAAAATAATTACTAAAAAATACTTAAGGCAAACTAAGACACAAGTCCTGTTTATTCAAAACATGTGGTTTTGTAGAAGTGTACTTTTTGCTTGGCCTTGAGTCCCTAGCTTTGCTGCCAGGGACTTTAATTGACAGATATTGTTGGGAATGCATTATTCTGGAAGGGACTGAAAATAACAGCTTTTACTTCCTGAACCTTAACCTTACATGGACCAGCCATTTTCTTTTACATTGAGAGGATTGTTAAATTCAGCATTCTGTTATATCATTCTCTGATCTAAATAAGGACTGGAATTGTGACTTAGATTTTCTGATATTAGTTTTCTTTGTCCAGTAGTTTTATATTAATCTGCTAGTGGATCAATAGTGTGCTGACATATTGAACAATCAAAAATTGTAAAATTTTTGGGCTGGCAAGGCTACCCTTTTATCTACATGCTTTGGAACCTGCATGTATGCATGTAAACAAAAAATCTAGACTCACAGGGTTCAGCTATTCGTGGGTGACTTAATTATGACTTTTTAATACTTTGTTTTCCAGTTTTATGACTTTTTATTTACATCAGAACAGAATTTTCTGTTAACTTTAGGTAATTTTCATCATTATACTTTAAAAAGTGGCTATCCACTTTATCAGGCCGGGAGAGATCACTCACGATTCCAGCAGTCTATGTGACCTTCGTAATGTACATCAAATTTATAAACTAAGCACATTTATATTGGGTATTCAATCTTTCTTGGAATGCACCGTAATAGTTCTTTTTCATTTGATGTTACCTTGCACCATAAGCATCTTATAACAGGATTATACTGTTGTACTAAAGATTACTGTCACTTTAAGCATTGTTGATTTTGATAATTAACATTGGTCATCTTTACCTGGAGTGATCGCTCACACAAGAGAAAACATGTGAGTACTTGGCCACTCCTGTGGGCTACTTCTTACAAAAAGCCAGCTTTGCTTTAAATCAATTCAAATGTTTCTGTTTTTGTGTAGTCTTTAAAGCACAGAGGGTATGCTTACCTCAAAGAGATAACAGGCCTCAACTTACAACAAAGCATATGCCAAGTTAATACAAATTATTTTAAACCTACCTGCTCATCCCTCTCTTCCCACTCACTTGAATTCTCTTGGGCTTGTACTGGTGGTTTTTCTTCAATCTGGTGAGTCACAGTGATGCTCTTTCCTTGCTGCCCATGTTTTGGTTTTCCTCCAAAAGCCAAATTTCTAAGCTGCAGTAAAATTGCATAATACTTTAAAAGTCTTGTCAACACTTCATTTTAAAATCAAATACAAAATAACTTTGAAAAACATGAAAAACTTTTGAATGCATTGATAGAAAAGCTGATTTCATTACAGTGAAAATAGGAAATACAAAAAAGAATGTCACAGTTAGCTCAAATGGTGGAATGAAGAGAGAGGTGGAGAAAGAGGTTTTGAAAAGCTGGCAAATTGGCCAAGGAAGAAATAGATCAATGTCCTGACAGTGGAGGGCAAGATAAAGAAGGAATTCATTTCCAAATGCAAGCATTGCAAAAAAATAGAGATTCACATCATTCCATTAAAAAAGGTAGAACTGTGTTTATGCTAACAAAATTATATGTTACTGGTTCTCACAACAAGTATTTGAATTGTTGCAATTTCCCTCTGTTTTTCAAATGTGTTTGCAATTTACAAGCAAACCATGTTGTCGCAGGCCAGTTTGATACAAACAGGTTCTTGGTGACCTGGTCTTGCAGTAATTTTCTAATCTTTATGTTCTTAGTGCCATGAAATTATCCCCAGTTTGTAAGTATTGCATATTTTACAAGGGCAGTTATTAGCATGTGCGAATGAGGTCCCTAGTGGTGTTTAACTAAGGTTCCATTTGAACATATTTTTTGGAGTTGGAAAAGTGTTGTTAAGACACTTGATGGTAAAGTCAAAGATGTTGGTTGGCATATTGTTTTGCGTACTTGACCAAATACAGTTTAGCTTTTGCAGTGAATGTGTCAGCAAGAAGGAAATTGTAGCTCCTTGAGATGATAAATTGTGAGAAAGACATTCTTTGTTATCTGATTTGATAATTATAATAATAGTATTGTGTAAATGTAGGCTTATAGCCTGTAATGCATCTAAACACTAAACTTGCAACTTTGCTTTATATGCAATGAAAGATCTTGTGGCATGTGAATTGATTAGGAAGCCAAAGAGGATTGTCAAGACTTATTGGTTTAAAAACAGCATAGCCAGATTATGAGCATTTAGAAAAGTCTCCACTCTGGTATAAACATAACACAACAAATTAAACTGTACTATGTGAGGCAATTTCAGGTGGTATAGGAAATTCTTTAGTACACTTGCTGTTGTCATATAACTTTTCAATCTTGTTTTGAACATATTTAACGTTTTTGGTGTAATGATGTCATCAGTGAGACCATTCTAATAGTCTGTTACTCTCAAGCTGAAAACTGTTTCCTAATGCAGTATTGAATCTTTGCTTTTTCAGCTTCTGACTGTTTCCACTCATAGGTAATTCTTTTTTAAATAGTAGCAGAGTAGCACTGTTCCCTGCATACATCTGGTTTTTTGAATTTAAAGGTTTCAGTGAGGCAGGGCTTTCATGTTCAGAAATCAATGTGCGCTGCCAAAAACTCGCATGATAAGAGTGGGGCGCAAGAATCAAATTTATTTTTAACACAAAGCAATAAAGTTTTTTCTATTGAATCATGAGAAAACCTTTGTTTTGGCCAAAACGTTGTGGGCTGGAGCAATTATTTATTATAATTATTATTATTACTCTTTATTATTATTTACAATGTTGGCATAAAAAAGGTATAAAACAGCCAAGCATATCCAAAAAAAGCTAGCTATTTAAAAAAGCCAGCAATTGGATCAGCTCAAGAATAACAGAAACTGAATGACCAGAAAGCAGAGACATACGAAAACGGAGTAGTGGAACAAGGATTTGATGTCAAACTTCCGGTACTAAAAAGAGTTTCTTAAGTGGATTGACTTCTAATACTACTTGTTTGTTAAACTTTTACTGATCGCAATATATACATATATACGATCCTTTTCACAACATGATTCTTCAACTTGTACAATTGTTAATCAATTGCATTCATAATGTACTTGTCAAGGGATTTTGCCTTCCAAAATGCATAAGTTTGCATTTGCTTGCATAAAACTGCCAAGTTCTGGACCATTCTTTTAAATTTGATTAATCTATCTGTAGTTTCCCATTATCAGCCTTCGCTTCAATCTTTTAAAAAATCTTCTTATCATCTGCGTACAATCATGAATATCATAAACATAACAAAGAATAGGGCAGGTCCTAAGGACACTACCTTGTGGAGCTCCACTTAGTACAGGAGCCCAAGAAGAGAACAACCCATTTACAACAACTCTTGCTTCATGTTGGTCAAGAAATCAGCAATCCAGTTGAGGATGTTATTTATACCATATGACTCTAATTTACTAAGTAGCCTTGCATGTCGCACGCTGTCAAATGCCTTAGCAAAGTCCAAATAAGGACCAGTAAGTTGAGGTTCAGGATTACTGTTTTCGATTTCTCCAGAATTTTGAGGCTAGATTGTTCCAAATTTGTTAGTATTAAATCATTAGGTTGTTGTACACAAAGACCATACTACAGTTTTCAAACCTTATTTGCTGACAAGATGGGTGAACCATCCTTTACTTGCTGAAAAGCTTGATAATTCGCCAATAAAACACCTTGAGATGACAAAATTTCACATGTTTAAACGGAATTCTCTTCAAAAGGGGAGTCAAATCCCCAGCATTAATGACTACCTCGTTGTTTTCAGCAGTCGCCAGTGCGGCCTTCTTCTTCTTTCTAGCACGCTTCTTAGCATTCTTGGCTTTCTTCTTTGCATCTTCATCGTTCTTCTTCGAAACTTCCTCTTCGCTTTCATCACTATCATCATTTGCTAACACAGAAAAACGAGAGTGCACGCCAATATCATTCACCATGTGGGCAGCCATTTTTAATGTTTTCCCCTATGCCCAAAATCTAGCCGCCTGCGCATTTACGAATTTAGCTGCTGAGCGAGCCTGTCTGACGTCATGGTTCCGGTCCTTTTGCAGTATAATTTAGGAGCTTTTTTATTAGGGGTTTATCGAGGGGTGAGGGGTGGGCTGGGGATCATAAATTCGAAGTGCTGGTTAATAACAGATGCAGTTTCAAAAGAGGGTTTGAATTCATCTATATTGAGCGATGGCATGAAATGACTTTGATAAAGTATTTTGAAGACCCTACAAACATTTAGTGGGAAAAGTAAGAAATACATGATAATAATTCATTGGTCTTGAATTCAAATAAAAATTGCACTATTCAAGATATTGTAAAAACAATGTCTATAAATGATTACCTTTCAGGAAATTTTCAGGACATAACTTTGAATTGTCTATGTATTTGTACCCGAATCTACCGAATCGATCAAATCGCTTACCTGAGCTTTACAAACGTTACAGTCTACACTCGTGCGCAATCTGACTTGCTGCACGTGATCTCATCAAGCATTAAATAACTGGCTCCGTATAAGAGTAAACTTATGAGGTTCAGTCGTGTGGTTTAGCGTGAAAAAGCACGTCTAAACGTGTTATGAAGCATGACTAAATACGTCTTGTCTTTAATGCAAGGAGACTGGCAACACCATTGTGTGTCACTTTTTTCGTATATGGTACGGACATGGCAACACCATAAATGTCCTTCCCAATGTTGAAAGAGTCTTTAAAGCTGCAAAGGTTCTCTCTAATTACCTCAGTAAAAATGTATGTTCAAATCTGTTTTATTCCGTGTTAAGAATCACTTTTTGCTGTTCTCAAGTTGTATCAAATGATAGCTGTTGTAACCTTAATCATAAAGGATTTCCATTTTTGCAAAAAACTTGATCTAGGAAGCTTTATGTAGGCTGGAATTATTTTCATGGTTAAGTGTAGACAGATATATAATTTGGTGTTTATTACTCAGTGTTCATACTAGGGACCTCTGACCTTCTCTCGACCCGGAAGCTTTTAAGCAATGCGTAAATGAAAGACATATATTCAAACTTGGTCACATAGCACATATAAGACAGGTATATGCTACAATAAGTTGAGTGAATGCAAGAGAGCTTTGGATAACAAACGTCTGCCTCGTTAGAGCCTCGAGGTAAGTTCAAATCTGCTATCTACAATCCCTGCTAAATGTCTTGGAACACTAACGTCAGTTTTCAAGGACAATTTTCAGCTATCCTTTTCTTCCTGTGAGAAAAATGCTGGTCTTCTATGAAACGACGTACAGCTAGATAGAAAATTCTAGATAGTTACAGGTAAATAGTTATTACATTTGCCTAAACTATCAACAGTGTTTTTTTGGGGGGGGTGGGGTGGCGTAGTGATTTTCATAGAGGAAGTGATAAAGATAAAAATACTGCAAAAGTCGATCACTGTTCCGAGTAATTTTGGCTGGCATTGTATCTATTAACAGACAAATTTAGGATGGTAAACTCGTGTACCGTGCGAAACATAACATCGACATGACACATAGATCGTTTGCACGTACTTTTTTGACAAATATTACGCAAGCATAACATTATCAGTTTGACTTTCCTACCCACAAAGGTTGGTTCATACTCTCTTTTGAAAGCATAAGGAGTTTTTCGTTGTTTGATTCATAATGCTGGTGTAGAGATTTCAATGTCTCACTAATGGCAATTTATTTACCAAATAACTGTATGCGATCTAAGCACGTGATGTGAAAACTCAATCAGCTTGTTTCATGTCATGGCTCAGGCAGATATCATAATTTTTATCCGATTTGGAGTCAGAAAGGTTTTTATAGCCTAGAAAGTTCGTGAAAAAGGTCTGGGACAGAGAGATGACAAGATTATGAAGAACGAACAGTTTCTTTTAAATGTTGATTTCGTTTTAAGATACTTTAAACGAGGTTTAAAGGTAATGAAAATAAGACTTTATTGTAGAAACCTTCAAAAATGTACAAAAGGCTGGCCCTCATCCTTTTGTTCGCGGCCTGGGCACAACTGGCATCAGCAAACTACAGAACATGCAACTGCTTCATTCGAACTGAAGACGAGGCAAATGCTCCTGTTCTGGTGTCATGGTCTGACAGATTAAGCTCCTGTGGCCTTTTCTGTGGCTTTCCTGGCTTCCATGTTTCTTGCGATGAGGTCAAAAGCTGGTGCCCCAACAACTGCTTTAATAAAGCCAAATCCAAGCTGCGTAGCAATGCCGAGCTTGACAAAATGTGCGAGAGACATGGCAAAATAGTTTCCGCTCAAAATGGGATCCATATGTATGCATACAGCAAAGTGATGAACAACTGCGGAGCAGCTTGGGACCACTACAACCTGAATGCAAAACTTTGTTGTTTCGTTTTGCGACCTCAGAACAGATGGATCGGTTACATATGTTAGCCTATGGTCATAGAAGTCTGATGACATGACGTTGGAGCTTTTCTTAAACCTATTAAACAGGCAGTTATGTATACACTGTAATCCTTGTTAGATATCAAGTTTCACGATAAAGTAATGACTTCTGATTTTCTTGTTTTCCTCTCTACAGAATAACCAAAACAAACATTTAGAATATGGTACAAAAACCCTCTCTTCCACAAGTTTTAAAGTGCTATGTTAAGTGTGGCACGCACTAAGAATACATATGAACACAGGAAAAAGAGTATAATTTTTCCATTTGATTTCAATTTACAGAAAATATGCTTAGGTGGTAACTGTTACCAATAATGATGTGGGCATCAAACACTGAGATCGTGTTTCTAGCAAAATTAAAAAGCAGAAAATTCCTTCTCATTATTAGCGAAAACCTCCTGATACATTTGTTCCAAGCATTCGCTGATTGCAGTTACGAAAGACATGTCAAACAAGTTTCTGTTAAAAAATTTCCTGGCAACAAAGATTAAATTTGGAAAACTGAATGTTGAAACTCTTAAGATACAACTGGTATAGAAATTTCCCAAAGCGTTAAGAAACTGTAGAACTCAACACCATGGATCTTTTTTTCTTATAAAAAGTGACTATACTGTTGGTTGATGATTCCTACAAGAAGCAGCATTTTTTTCTACCAAGCGCTGTTCCAATCTTACTGTCCAAGATTCATTCCGATTGAACAAGAAACACATTTGATATGAGATGTGATTTTCTGGCACGATTCCTGTTAAAGGGAGGAGGACATCAAACGCTCGAATTCCAGTATGGAAATATTTAAAGCCTTTGATCTTTGGTCTTTGGTCAAAAATAGTTCGAAAACAAAGCTGCTTTTAAAGAAGTGTCGAAAAATATCTATGAACTTCAGTTCCAACAGAATTTAACGAGGAAAAGAATTAGAAGTTTCGATGCACAGCCATTTTGGATATACTCAACGAACATAACTAACAGAAAACAAAAAACGTGCTCTATAGGTAAAGCGAGGCTATAACAAAAGCGTATCTTAATTACGTAACGATTAAAAGTGCTAATTTAGTACAGTAGACAGGGAATTTTGCATAACCATCTAGCAACCTGCCTAGCCTAAGTTTTTAGAGTTTAAATCATAAGAGTTCGGGCCACTGATCATTTTTAAAAATGCATCAAAATGATAATTCCCAGCTTCTTTCACAACTGCCAATTTGTTTCAATCTTCTGTAGGTATCTGTAAAATTGGCTAACATTTGGCATAAGAAATTCCATTTGCAAGTTTGGATAATCTTCGTCATGCATTGCACCCTCTTCTCAGGCATCCCTGGTCTTAATGCTTTGTAATCCTTTATCTGAAAGGCATCTATCACATGCACCAAAGTGCATTACTGTGACCACGACTGCTTTTCATTGTCGCTTAAAAACCCAAGATGACAACGCAAAAAGGACATAAACATTCAACGTACATCAGAATTGTTATATTTACACTGATATCACAAAGTAAACCTAAGCTACGATTTTAACTGCGTAGTAATGTTTAAGTGTTAAATTAATCTTATATGCCATAGGTAAATGCTGAAGGGCTGTTAATGCGGTCTATGTTGTTCATTAGCAGCATTACGCTGTAAAAATGTTGCGCTAATAGAACCTTCGTATACTGGACACCGGTGTTAACGTCGACAGAGTGGAGTGGCCGATGTCTGGAGACGACTTTCTACAAGGCTACTTCTACAGGAAAGAACAGAACTTTTAATGGTGTTATCTGCTGTTTTGAGAAGGGGTCCGTTAAAGGCAATCGACACCTACCTTTCGATCAACAATTGACCAATCAATAAAGGTAATACTGCTCACGCGTTTATTGATTGGCCAATAATTTATTGTTCTACTTTCATGATTTTGGCAAGTTTTAAACCTACCAAGGAAAATATGATAAAATAGACCGTACATTAGCTAAAATGGCAGCAGTTAGACGAAACTGTTACAGAATACAGTATCGATATGTTACAGTATCGTTTGTGTATATTAGAGTATCGAGTTTTTATTTGTGCATTCGTTTGAGCATGGTTCTTAAAAAGCAAAGAAATTTTTCTTTTAAACACAATCCGACCAAAATTACATTTTGATCATGACTTGATATGCTATCATTTATCTTTGCATTTGCTTAATATATACTTTCGGGGCATGAATTATTCAAGTTAAGGCTCCGTGAGTTTTACTTGGGATATATCAAATTCGCTTTCCTGGCGTCCAATTTGTACTGGATAATATTACCGTTATGTGCTGAATGCAAACATGAAATAGGCTACTTTTAGCAGATATAGGTTAATTTACTACTGAAGAAATCCGTCTTGAGCCAACTTCATGAGTAGTTTAGCATGTATTTACAAATGCACCTTTAAAATGTCTCTCAATAGGTGTTCATTGTCCATTGTCATTGGCAATGTTCTTACGTGCAAAGGATGTTGGTCTATAACCTAGTACTTTGCTTTGCTTGAGTTCATCCAACTCAACTCATCATGTGGTAATGGATGCTGAAACATTTACATCATTCTGACATTCGAGATTTTACCAGTGCCGAATCACGAGAGTAGAGTCTCCGTTATATCATTGTCCCTTATAACTCCATCCTTTATTATTAGTGACTTTATCTTGACAACCTTCACTGGCTGACTATCTTCACATAGTTCATCATACATGTTGTACTGAGGCACTAATCCCTCTCCTGGCGGTGTTTTTAGATGCCTTTTCTCCTTCGTATTTGTTGCATCATCGCCATCAACACTCCTTTTTTGCCTACAGGGTATTTTTGACCTCCCAAGGCCGTTGCCATTCCCACTGAAAGGAACGAATACTTTGCTTTTTTCTTGACTGGATTCATCTCCGCCATCTGCAGATCTTTTTTGCTGTTTTCCTGCACCTTCGCGTTGTTCTTGTAACGCAAAGAACTGGTCGAAGCTTTCGTGGCGAGTCAAAGCAGGCAGTGAAACATCGCCTTCAACCGACCTCTTCTGAAAATCTTTGTCAAGCAATGCAGCGGCCGTCAAATCAGAGTCGAATTTTTCTGCAGGTCCAAATATTGATTGCAGTTGCAGCCTACGCACCATTTCTCGTTGACTGGTCAATTCACGACGAAGTTTCATTCTGTCTGGGAGTGGGATGGCAAACGAGACACGAAGCAGTCCAACCATTATAGTTACAGCGAATAAGAGACTGGCCAATTTTGATTGACTTCTTGACAAATCTGTAATTTACAAGATAAAATGAATATGTTTAATATTTAGATTTATAAAAACTTGTCAAGAGAATATTTAAACATGATCGCTGACATTATTTGAAAAATATGCCGTAGGGCTCTATGATATATTCTTTTATATAATTAAAGAGAAACTTAAAAATGGACACAAAATAAAAATGAGCTGAAAGTATATATCTGTACATTTTGTCCCGAAAGCGGATATGTCACTGAAAACTGCTTCATCATTCGCAAATTTTGCCAATGTATATGGTGAGGACTTTGGTCTTGCTCATCAATCTTCTTAGATCAAATTGATCGCCATCACATGGAAGCCCGACTTGGATGCTATGAGAGTGCTTGATCTTCTTGTATGCAAGCCAGAGAAAAACAGCTGCACAAATTTCATTAAGCATGGGAGCTAGTTTACAGCCTTGTTTAGTTTACACCGCTGTTTTATTCAAAAGGGTTTGTAAGTTCATCATCAACGACTAGTCTTCAACGTACATTTGTTTAAAATTAAAAAATTGTTTTGAAAAAAAAACATGTTGAATCTTACTTAAGCATATTGTCTAGCACTCTTTGGAGTATGAGTCATCAGAACATAAATCGAAAATCAACGCTAGCAAAAAATATATACCAAGTTGTGGAACAAAACAGGCCAATCAGAAACGCGAGCACATGACTGTCGAGGTTGCCCATAAATGCTGCTTTCCTATTGAAAATATGCCTATCGATGAAAAGTATATATATTCGCTGCTGGCTTGGCTTTTTCATCAGCTGTCTAAGTGTGAAGAAACCATCGATAGTGTTTCTGCCAGTACGATGTCTAGATTGAGATTGTGCATAGATCAGCTCTGCCAGCTTTTTGAGTCTAGCGGCTCGTAAATTTTACTTTAAATACTATGGTCAGGCTATGTTATGAGTATCTTATGGTAAGGAGCCTTTTTTCGGCTGAACAGTTATCTCTTGAAGCAGTCTTGATGCACACGTTTCACTCTCAAAAACGACCAAATATCTACGTTGAATATCAACTTTAATGAAAGCATGCCAGCTTGACAAATTAAGAGTCAATCATTTAATCTAAATTCCAGTGTTTGAATAATTGCCATTGTTACATTTTCCCATAATGTTTGCTGAAAACTTTGAGTTAGTTTACTTATTGTTACTGGTACTTTATGATTTACATTTTTTAGAATCGGTCAGTAAAGTTGAATTTAAGTGTGAACAGCTGTTTTACCGTATCTTTTTCGCAAGAGAAAATACTGTAAATGCAATGATATTTTGCGACAACAAGAATAGTTTGTATAGCAAAGTAAAAAAGTAAATACAGCCTATTAACCGCAAACTTCAACTTTAGAAGACGCATTTCGTTTCAAATTAATCATAGATAACAATCATCATTTATGTTTGGTCAATTTTTACATATGAATAAAAAATAATAATCACATACTTCTTTGATTCATCTTTGTTTGAAAATTCTGATTTGAAACGTTTCTTCTTCAAAACTAATCGCTTCAATCTTGACAGATGTGCTTCTACGTGCCAAGTTCCGCGGCTTCTAAAAATCTGAATCACCTGTTCATAGTTTAAGCCGTGCTAACACGGACGCATTCCCTTGGCCGAGAACTACAGGTAGCTGAAAATCCTTGACTGATTTGGTTGAGCATGTTCATTGCGTGGCCATCATAAATGCGATGGCAGATAAAGTTATTTTGCACCGGCTTCCTTAACAATCTTATGATTATCAACGAATCCTCTGTTGTCAATTCAACGAAAAACTCAGTTCTTATTTGAAAATGAGGCAGCTGTATGAAGAACATGCAACTGCACCCGATATTGAGCGTTATGATGTAGGATGAATTGGCGTAATTAAGGAGTAACGCAATACTGCAATATAGATTAAAAAGCATCTCACTATATTCGTTTTTTTAGATGAGATGAAGTGAAGAATTTTAAATGAAAAACTTGAGTAGTGCCAAGTATTTGCTACAGAAAAATCACATATACGTAAAAAACTATTTATACTGGAAAGCATTGTACATAGAGCCAATTTTTCAAGCTTATTCAAAGAATTTTATTACAAAAACATAATGTCTTTTCTAGCGCAATGATATTTTATTTAAGGCTGATATTTCTTATAATATTATAGATTGTATTTTTCTCAGGTTCCCACTTGTATCAACTACTGCAAATAATGTTTATCAATGTAGAGCTTGGGTATGTCCACAAAATTCAATTAAGCCTTAAATAACACTGAAATGGATTGGGGGTATATACTATTCATGTTTAGGCCAGGCTCAAGATCTCTGCAAAAGGGACGATGTTATGGCTTTTAGGATACCAGAAATGGTTTTGTGTCTTCATTGAATGGAAAACAACTATCTCTATAGCAGAAAACTTCTATAAGTCTACAAGATCATAACATTTGATATAGGCCCGCCAGGAACCGCATCTCTAGCCTCAACAAAGCATGAAGAAAGTAAATGTCAATAGCTTCAAAGCGTTAATAAATCAATTAGTTTTTTCATACCGATATTTTCTTCGCCAACAACTATAGGCAGTTGCCCCTCTCTCACCAAATTAAAGCAAGTCTGGCACCCTTTTTTGGAAATTGTGCGCCCCTCTTGGAGAACGAGAATCAGGTGAAAAGCTTCTGAATCAAGTAGGTTGATTTAGGTCAAGGATAACCTCAAAGTTGATTTGTTTATTCTGAAAATGGATCATGTTTTGCTAGAAAACCAACGCTTTGGAAGACAGCAAAGTTGTGTCTTTAAATCCCTGCTTTCATTCAAACATTTTTCAATTTCTTGCCCTTTAAAGTTGTCCAATCCTCATGTCTAATCAAACAAAATAGAACTATGGAGCATAATTATGATAGAATGGTACCTAGAGTTCTTGGTTCTTGGTCGATGTTGTAAATTTTCCAGACCAATTTCTCTAAGAGAGAAACTTTTCTACTAAGAGAGAAATTTTAATGTAATGATAATAGTAATAATGATAATTTATTTATTTAAGGTTGGCATGATAATGATAGCTATTGAGCAAATTAAGGCAAATTAAGGCAAATTAATTAGCTTTTGACATGGGCTCCGACATATGTATTGTAGTGGAACGAGTCTCATCAACAAAATATCTTGGTCTTACCCTGACAAACCAGTTTGACTGGAATGTGATCTGTTGCCTACAACAGTCTTGTTCGTCCTCACCTTGAAAAAGCAGTACCTGTCTGGGTTCCATATACCAGAAAGAACATTGATAAATTAGAAATGATACCGAGGAGAGCTGCAAAATATGTTCTAGATCGATATCATTACCCTGCAAGTGCAACTGGAATGTTAAATAAGCTTGGATGGAAGAGCCTAGAGGAGCGAAGAAAGCATATGAGACTCACAATGAAGTATACGATAACAAATTCGTTAGTTGCAATCAATTTTACAAACTATTTAGAACCGTGTCTCAGACAAAATAAAAATTATAATAACTTCGCCTTCATTGTACCTAGGACAGACACAGACTATTTCAATTATTCATTTTCCCCTCGCACCATGAAGGACTGGAACGTTCTCCCAAACCATGTTGTGAAAGCATCAACCATGGACTCATTTAAGACACTCTTGTCAACAGTAAAGTAATATTTTAAACTAAGTTCCTTTTGTTGATTAATCACCCTATTCTTCCTTTTTATAAATACTTTAGGCCCCTGCATGTGAGCTCCGTAATCACCAACCCCTTACTTTCAACCCAACCAAGTTTTGTCAAACGGCTGTACATTGCAGTGGCCAATCATATTTCATCAGCGGAGCCCTCAATATTGAGGTTGCTGATTAACCCTTGTAAATGTAAATGTAAATGAAGGTTGGAAAGTGGGGTGGGTGGAGGGGGGAGGAGTATCACTCGTGACAAAGAATTTGAAAAAGGGTTTATTGATTGGGAAAACAGTAAGGATATAGCCCCCGGTCCCCCTTCGTCAGAGGTCCTTTTTGAAAAAGGAATTGTTGATAGAGCGCAAAGAAACCCTGTTTCGCACGTTTGAGGAAGTATTTTGGCCGAATAGGAGGAACTAAATGTTATTTGGAATTGTTTGCATCTGCTATGCTATAGATAGGAGTACTACACTGCCGAGAAATCTAATCTCATTTGAGTTTTCTGTTGTGCAGCAGAATTGACAGGTTTTAACTACATTTTCATTCCCGTTTGAAAAAGGCACTACCAACGAGGAGAGGAAGAAGTCTGTGGTCTTGACTTTGTGAGATTACATCATATGCGCCAAAGTTTACAAGGAAGAGACTGGGCCCCATCGATAAATGACATTGCGTTCAAGTCTCAGTATGTTGATGCATTGAATTAGTAATGGCGGACGATTAGTTTGCAGCTGCCGGCCGTATTGGCGTCCCATTGCTTTCAGGGTTCTTTTTCGCTAAACTGTGAACTAAAACCAGGAGAAATGCATGCCAGTTAGAGTCTAAACAAGTGCAACTGGAGCTGTGTGGATATGGCTGATGGAGGGACAGGTTTTGATCGAAGTCATAGCTGTGAGTAACGTAGTTAGTCCGTCCTGTCTTTTACTCCTAAACAGACAGAGGTCAAGAAGCCTAGGTATTTTTTGGGGATATTGCAGAGAAAATCATTTTGGAAGCATTAATTCTTCCTTAATGTCATGTGAATTCATTTTACGTCAAATCTGTTAGCTCCCGTCAGTCCAAGTTATTTAACAAAAATAGTCAGGAACAAAGCAATACGACGAGGAAAATCCAATTTAATGAGATATTATTTTGAAATAAATTAAATTTAATGAATACTGTTATTTTACCCTGGCATCTAGAGCTTCATCAGAGTAAAAATGATGAAGCTTTGCTTGTGCAATAAATATTCTTTGACTGCTTAAATGTTACTAATCTATGACTATGTAGATCTAAACTTTCTCCAATATGTCCAACTCAAACGCATATATGTCTAGCTGGATGTATAAATTAAAAGTTTTAAGGCAGATAAGATCATTCATTCAGCGTTTTGTTACAACTTCAAGTTTTTATCTTGCCTGTTATGGAAAACTTTTGGCTGAACTTATCAATCCTTTATGCTGCATTATTTTGTGAATGTTTTTTCTTGTTTGCCATAAAAAATTATCTTCCAGAGAGGAAACAGCGACTCACCTATGCCATATATTGTCTGCACACACAAATTTCCCATCTGCAAGCTGTTTCATATTGGCTGTGCAAAGTAGTCAATAATATTTTACAATATTTACAAAACAAATTTCTAAGTGCGCCGGATTTCAAGCATGCAGTCTCAAATTTTCAAAATTAACTTCATCCACACAAAAATATTTTCCAGTGGATTATCTTTAATACTACCAAAAGCAAATTTTATTCAAATTTGGAAGTTTATCCCAGTGTATTTTACAATCCGTTCTGGAAAATGTGCTTTTAACCTGAGACACTGTTATACAAATTAAGTGACTAATGCCAATCCTGCAACTACTAATTAAATGATGTCTTTGCAGTTGTATCAGGCTTTCCTTTGATATACATCAACAATAAACTTATATATTTAGAAATGCAAATTTAAATTATTATATGTGAAAAGTGTAGAAAGATCTAGGCTGAAAAGTTGACTTGTGAAAGAAATTTAACTCAAGGAAAAGTTAGCTCTTCAATCAATTTTTGGGTTTAATGGCTCTTTTAATTTGAAATTTGAAACATTAGCAATGATTTCCTTACCCAGTGACAAATCATTTTTCAGGTGGGGGAGCAAACCCACAAAAACAAGCAAATTTGCTGACAAAATTTACCCACAAAAGCACTAAAAACTGTTTTAACCCACAATTTGGCAAAAGCTGTGGAACAATTGCCCCCATACCCCTTCAATTCCTGTCACTGGCCTTACCTTTAGTTAATTGTTCAGGGTCAGCCTAAAACTCTGTTAACGCTTTACCACAATATATTGATTTTGAGATTGAAAATTTCCATGTGCTTTATTTGCTGCACAATGCAATTTTTCAGCCGGTGTGTGACGTCATATCTCCTCTGAGAAGAGTGTAAGAATAAGGCAATGTTGCTCAGCTTCTGGAAGCAACTTCCACAATTTCTTTGAATAACTTTAGTCCTAGGAAGGTCAAAAACAACAATCAATCAAAGATCTGACTCATTCATGTGATAAATTTCTGGCATTATTTTGCTTTGTGTATGTGCTGATAAATGCCCTTGCTATCACAAACATGAAATTATGAAGACTGCCCTTATAATGGATTTTGTTCATTTTTTTTAGTTACATGGAATTTCTCAATTTTGGAAGGAGTGATGGTGAAGATAAGCGATAAATTCAGGCCACCAAATAAGGTAATTAGTGCCAGGCAAATGGTTATTGCATAATTTTAAGGCATCATTGATATGCAACAGTGTGGTATTTGCTTGGTGCCATTTACTTGGGCTAGTCATCTAAGGGGTCCAACCCCTACAAACTAGACTTATATTTCAAGTTTTCTTGAAAAAACTCCTAAAGGTTATCAAAGAGATTTTTGTTTGATTTAATTTTGAACTTTAGACTTATATTAATTTTAAATATTTTGTGAATAATTGGTTTTTAAAGAATGTTGTAATTTATATTTACAGATTCATTTACCAATTGGATGGAAATCTTTTGAATATGAAGATGATTTTGAGGTATACCTTTTTGAGTTTTGTCTTAAGAACATGTGCCGTGCCAAAGATTAGGGTGGGGGCTCCAGCCCCAAAGAATTAAAGAAAAGAATAGAAGAAAAGAATAGTGCAGTAAATCCTTTTATTACTTAACCTAAACAGAATAAGCTGTGGTCTATTTCCATTTTATGGCTGAGATTTATCACACATAACAAAAGCATGCCTTAAAGGTTTTTCAAAATGATTCAAGAAAATGGCCCCAAAAATATTCTGAAATGTATTTTAAAGGACAAGTGACACACTTTTCACCCTATCTTTTCTTTTCATTAACTTATAGATCATCATTTAGTAGTAAGTTTTTCCTGGTTTAGAACAAAAAATTATAATCAGGGGGCGCAGGGGGCGCGATTTTGTTTTTTATCACGTGACCCTATGACGTACATTGTGATAACTCGGAATTTTCCTGTCATTGATAGAGAGTTTACGAAACACGACGCGACAGGTCCATACGAACTGAATTCGTTTAGAAACGTGTTGTAAACGTTAATATTGCACTGTATACCACTAGCAGCAATAACAAATTATCACAATCTACGTCACGGTGTCACGTGATTCATTCCCCGCCATAATCTGAAAAGGGTTTTTAAGTAGGAAAATGAAATCAGAAAGGAAAAATATTTCAACAACACTCTCATACAGTATTTTACTTTAAGTTAAAAGAAAAAAAAAATTGGCGCCAAAAGCGTGTCACTTGTCCTTTAAGCTAATATAAAGGGTCTGGTCACCAACATTTTCTGTTCCCTTTGCTGGCAGGGAAGATCCCCCTCCCACTTTATTTTCAGCTATCTATTCTTGTTCTATAAGATTACAGTTAGAGTATTTATAGGCTCTAACTGTATTTTAGTTTGATTTCAAATTTGAAGAAGATGTTATCAAGTTGGCAGAGCGAGAGCAACTTCAAGAGGAGAGTGAGAAGGAATATTCAAGTTTAGTAAATGCTACAGCAAGATCACTGGATGATAACATTGAAGAAGCAAGCATTGATGACAATACTGATGAAGATGAAGACTCACTACAGAAAGCAGATGGTGCTGCTTCAGTCTTTCATAATGATGTTTCTGAAACTTCAATTCTAGAACCAGTCAAGATCAACAGTGATCCACTGGCTAAACAAGTAAATAAAAATACTTCAAAATGCTTTAACTTTTCAGAGTTTGAAGATAATTTTGCAACTCCATTTGAACTTGTTGAGCTACAAACACTTGATGATATTAATGAGTTGAAAAGTGTGTTGCAGCCTGGCTGTAAAACCAACAAAAGATCTAAAAAGACCAAGAGTGATGACAATGTCGAGTCTCAAATTGATTTTTCAATCTTTAATACTCCAGTGACAACAAATCAAGAACCAGCTGAAGTGAAAACTAGTAAGATAGCTACAGCATCACTGATACCTGATATTGAGCCAGTGCAGTCTATGGCAACAAACACTACTTTGCCATTACATCTGCAGTTTGATCAAAGGCAAAACGAAGTGCTACCTGTTTCATCACAACCATCTGCAAGCTTGCAGCCTGGTCAGCCATTTGATTCACTTCCAGTGTCTTCAAATTACCAGAATATGAATCAATTTAATCATTGTCAAGACATTACTGGCCAACCTAATCTAGGGAGGTTCCCAGATCCTGTATTCAAAAACTCATCTTTACCATTTAGTGGCCATATTCCTTTGGATATGAGATTTTCAACAATAAAAGCAAATGATACTAGATTTTCATTGGACTCAGTTTCACATTTAGAACATGGTAATAGTAGAATCAGAGAGTTTGAACACTTGGGAAACCTTAGGGGTGAACAAGGAAAGTCACTAGAAAGAGACAGTGCTTTTTTTCCAAAAAGAAATGAAGGAAGTGACTTAGATCTTAAGGCTAGAGGAAGTCTAAATAAAGCAAATTCAAGGTCTTTGCCAAATCTTGCAGAAGCAGGAAGGATGACAGAAAATGGGGTTACAGGGAGTGCATCAAACTGTTCTCAAGAACCCCTTCTATCAACTTCAAGAATTGACAATATAATGAGACACTTCCAGCTAAACAGACTAAGAGAATTTAATAGTAGCTCAAATCAAAATGATCCTAATGCAACAATTGAAAATCCCCTTCAAAATGATACGACACAATTGCCAAATGTACCTAAACCTCAGTCTGGAATAGTGACATCATTGCAACTATCACCAAGGAATTTACAATTCACGACTAATCAAACATTTGATTCATCAACAATTAGTGCACAACAAGAAAATTCCTCCATGAGTGACACCGAGAGAAGAATGAGATTTCCATCTCTTCAGGTATACAATTTACATTCCAACTGTATTCTACGTGATTTTTGATCATGTTAACATTACTTGGCAGTTTTATTATGACGCTACGACTCGTTGTTATCTCTCCTTTAAAAGAATGAAATAACATTTCATTTCAAAAGGAATGTAATCACCAACATGAGTGCCAACATTAATAAAGAGATTTATTTATTTCATGTCGTGACTTATGAAATAGTATAAAGATAAGAATGAAAGGGTTGCAAAAATTCCACCGAGGAAATATTTTATTTTCCACATGAGTAGCAGTTACATTAATTACGACTAATTTGATGTCTAAAAATAGTTTGAATTTGATTGTTGTGTTGTTGCTAAAGGCGCAATTGACAAGATATCTTAGTTTTGTCACTGACTTGACAATATGTTTACAATCTTCCCACATAATTTAAATTTAACAGGACGATTCTAAGTTGCTACTCCTAGTTTCACGCTTAATGCGATAATTAGGCAACTCTTGAAACCACTCTCTCTATAAAAGCAATCATATTGAAAGTAGTTTCAACAGTTGCCAGATGGTAGCATTAAGCCTCAAACTCGGAGTAGCAACTTAGAACCGTCCTGTTTTAAACACCAAATAACATGAAAATCTCTTCCTATATGGTGTCGCACACACTTTATCGACAGACCGGTAAACAGTAATTTCATTAATTGAACTTTAAGATAAAAATTTTATGTTTCTAATATATAACGAACCATGTATAATTGGATTTTCAATATTGATCAAGCTAGAATTAAATCTAGGTATATAAAGAATAAAATCAGATAAAAGGTTTTATTTTTTGTGTTCCAGCCGTTACAGCCTAAAAGGAACGTCAAAACCCAGGTGACTAAACAATTCATAAATCAGCTGAATAGTATTGAGTGGTGACGACATCAAAAGATTTGTTTTAAAATTGTTTACTTTTAACCGTGTAGTCTACAAGAAACAGGCCTACCTAAAGAAATAAGACTTATAAATAGAACAGTCAATATTGGATGAGATAAAACCGTATGAAATCATTCCTTTTTACTATTAAGTCACTGTTATCTGGTTTTTGGTTCTAAGCTCTTTGAACCAGGCCAAACCTACAGTAATAATCTGTTTGTAGACTTTGCGTCTTCTATTCGCTGTATTCAGCCGACTGAGAGCAGTTTTATCTGTAATTGAAAATCTAAAGGTATCTTGTAGGAATTTATTTTATGGTTTGATTCAAATTTAAAATATTATAAAAGAAGACGCCATACTTCAAAATTCGATTTGAAGTAAACATAAATTGGCTGATCTGATCAGCTCGATTTAAATCAAGATCGATTTAGCACCTTGTTGAATTACGCCACTTTAGGAAAACTGGTGTTAAACGGGGCCTCCTTAAAACAAACAAAGCAAAGAGATATAATGATTTCTTCTTTAGAGAGAGAAATTACCTCTAAAGCCTTTGAGATATCACCTCCAAACAACGGGCACAATCTTCCGCAATAGTTTTGCTTCTTAGTGCAGTTTGTTGTCGGAAGATCTAAACCTGCAATTCACAAATATTGCTTCAGTTCAATTACAGATTTTTACCATAAACAAGCAGCGTTTAGATAACATCCTGTTTGCCGTGGTTAGTACTCGCTCTCCGCCCCGCTGTGTTATAATTAACTGTACCGATAGACATTGAATTTATGTTCCTGTTGCCTCAATTTGTTAAGCCGCTGCTAGAACTAAATGCTATTTAGGTAAGGAAAAGTGGCGTCAAGGCACTAAAATAAGCGAGAAGAGGCCTGCTTGTTGGTTAAAAGGAGCCTGCTTTTCCCTCTCTTTGTTGCCTGCAAAATCTTATCTTAGACATGTAGGAAGATCTTCTTAGCCATTATTGAAGTTATTAATTATGATGTCTTATACATTCTTTACTTTTGTCAGATATGGTATCTGAGGGAGTTATGATTATTTCCTGGCGTATGAGTTTTTATGTAGAGGCATTTGCCAATAATGTCTCTATCCGAACTGTGATTTTTCAGATGTTCTTTGGTACCTTCCTTTTTTCTTCCTCCTTTTAAAGCACCCTGCTTTTCGATGCAGCCGTAGTATATGCTTGATTGCCTTTAAACATATTAAATCGCCATAACTGTTCAAAGCAAAACGAATTCTTTAGCTGTTTTTATAAGAAGAGTGTTTCAATTCCGTGCTCATTGTGTACATCTCAGTGGATCAACAACTCAGGAAGTTATTGTAATGTATTTTATTGCAGGAGACTAATCGAAGAAGGAGACTGAGTTCTTCAGAGCCATTACCTCCAATAGCAACACCTAGTCCTCCAAGAACGTCAGGTGCCCAACATATCAACACTTCGTCTAGTCTTTCAAAGCATAGTTTTAAGCAAGAGGAGTTAAGCTGGTTACCAGATCCCACTCCGAATTTGTCACCACAGGAAGCGTCATTGGCAAACATGATCACTGGAATGGGATTCTCAAAAGCTAGAACCGCTAGGGCAGTAGAGAGACTGGAGTTTGACGAAAAGGAGGTCAGTTTAGCTTACTAGTTGTTTATAAATACAGTATATTAACCGTAACCAACTTATAAATTCCACCATTTTCTCAGGCATAGATTTATTTTATGATCTCTTAGTACTCAGTTACTATCGTTGATTATGCAGTTCTTATCAAGGCTGGTTTTCCTTTCCAACACTAGATCATCGATTTTCTTCTCCGGGTTCAACAAATAAGTGACTTGGGTTATGATGCAGATGATGTTGAGATGGCGATAATCAACAATAAAAATGACAATGAAACTGTGAGTATGTGCCTGCTGCATGCAAAATAACCTTTGCTTGCCCATTTCCCGCAGTTAAACTCTATTCAATTAATTTACTTTTTAACACAATTCATAAAATTGTTCCTTCTCTTTTACTCCAAGAAGGTACATCTTTGAAAATTTCTCACAGAATACTGCTTGGCTTGAGTGTGGTAGTGATATTTGTTGTAGCAACAAACATCCTCTAGGTTATTAGCTATACAACCTATGATTTTTATGTTCTGAGATAATGAAGATTTCAAAGTCTTGAATCAAGCTTGTGGAAGTTTTATTCTCAGAAGACTGGGTTTTTAGAAGTTTTATTTGGTAGTAAAATATCTATGTAAAGGTATTACGTATATGCGCCCTTTTTGTTTCCTTTGTAGATTTTGAACTACTTAAGTCACACAAACAAATGGAAGGAGTTAGGTTTTCCTGTTCAAAAGGTGCACGATGCACTTATTAACACAGACAAAGAAAATGAAGCTGTTTTTGAATACCTGACAAGTTTAGATGAATAGCAGTTAAGAGCGTAAGAAATTCCGGCATTTATTGAAACTGGCAAGCAAAGAATGTATGAAAATAAATTTCTTTCCTGTAGAAACCAATCTCCAGTATTAATCAGACTCTTTCTAAGCTTCCATCCGAAATTCCTTTCTTTAATGTTGTAAATTATAGATATAAGTTCCTTACTATGAAGAGCTTAAATACTGACTAGGTCGTTAGTTTGAAAAAAAGGGCTGTATAAACACTGTGAAAATGTTTCAATTTGTGCATGGTAAAAGGTATTTCAAACACGATGTCTGCACTGTACAACCAAGAAAGCCGGTTTTGTGTTTCTGGAATTTGTAGAAATTGTGGAATTTAGTTTTTTTAATCTGTTTTCAACATAGTTTTCAGCCCATTAAAGCGAACAGCTTTCTTAAAAACATATCTTACTATTTTAAGATTGATGCCGCTGTATTTCGACCACTATTCCAGTGGCGGAAATTGAGCATTTTTTCTGGGGGTGGTGGGGGGGGGGCAAAAGCCAACAAAATCTTTGGATTTTGGATTTTGAAGTGACACATTTTTGGTTGTCATACTTTGTGTATATTTTCATGCATACAAAGTTTGCAATGCGTTTAAATCTGTCAGTTGTTCTCTTTTTTTTCTTTTCTGGTTTAATCGTCAATAGCTGACCTGTAGTGAAGTAACAATTCTTAACAGCTTTCTTTGCGCTACATGTCCAAGCATAAGCCGCGTGCCCCTGAGCCCCCCCCCTCCCCACTGCTACATCTTTGATTTCTTCTTCCACATAATAACTTTTTGAAACATTCGCAAGGTCCCCCTCTCGGCGTATTTATTTTGTTGATAAATTTTTTATTGTGGATATGAGTTTATTCTGGATATGAGTCATTCTGGATATGCTAGCTTTCGGGTACAACCTAAATTCACAGTTGCGCGACTGGATTTGAGTTTTGCCTCCTCCCTGCTGAGCGTTTCGGCCGTTCTTGGTGTAGAAAAAACAATATAAGGGATTGTTAGTGATTTACATACTCACTTGTCTCCTTGCCGATAAGGGAAACGTGATTGTCAAATCAAAAGTTAGCCTGTGTTCCAGACCCCTAACTTTGGCTTTGCCCGCAGGACTGCCAAGGTTTGCCGGCGAAAATTTTAGCCGTGAGCAAACGAAGTTTCTTTCAACCAAAACCAGATTTGCCGACAAATTCTTACCTGGCGATCGCCCCCCCCCCCCCACACACACCCCCACAAATTCCGCCACTGCACTATTCATATCGTAGGTAGGTAAATTACAATATCTTATAAAATATTTTTTCGGCTTATCGTCAATTTTCAGAATAGAATGAAAACCAGTTATCCATTTAGATTTCATTAATGATGAATAGAATATCCAACACAGCGAAAAAAGGGACATCTTTATGTTTGGTTAATCATTGTACCCAAAATATTAATTAATTTATTAATAAGTAATTCATTACTTTGAGAATCATTGCCTCTTCCACCATATATCTATGATGGAATATCTTTGTAATTTAAGTTGAAAATTGCCAGTTTACTGCTTAATTAACTTAACGTACGAAACGGTGAGACTTTTTTCCTTGTTTACTAATGGAATGCCCAATGTTACGAGTAAATATTTACAATAATCAAACTTTGAACATAGTTACAAAGGATATGTGGTTTAATTGTATATGGTTTAATCCCAAGTTTAAAATGACGTCAAAAAGCATTCGAATGTATTATTTGTTGTTTATAATGGTTGTCTTGCTCTTCTATACATGAATGTATTACGTTGCGTAAAATTTTTGCATTTAATTAATTGCCACATAATTGCTCATATTAAGAGTAATTTGCTCTTATGTTAAATATTTGTTGTAGGTGACAAAAAGCGATACTGTTCTTTAACAAAAAAGCTCTTGATAACACAGATCAAACAGGGTTTTTCTGGGCTTTTCTTTTCTCTCATTTGCTGTAGGAATATCCATAAAATATTTTTCAAACATAACCCATATCCTCTCCCAGTTTTCCAGAAATTGAAATTCAAGCAGCGAGGCTATGAAATAGCAGCAGATCTCAAAAGTTTCGAGTATCTTTATTTGTCAGTGACCATGTTTTTAGTCAAATATTCGAAGAAAGGCTTTACTTTAGCTTACGCAAATGTCCTTTTGAAAAATTCACTTGTTTATTTAGTGGTAGAACCAATTTTCTTTTAGCCTCTTTAGTTTTTTTGTTGCTCTTTTATTCATATATTTTCTTCACTGCAATCTATTGAAAATAATTTTTCTAGAGAATTGTTTTCTCTAGTTCTAAGTGAAACCACCAGTACACATCATATATCAGAACAATCTTCTCGTCAGTCTAGGGTTTATTTCAACGTGCAGTGATAACCAATTTGTGCAGTTATAAATCGTTATTGTTCAGTGATAAACTCAAATTTTGTGCAGTGATAAAACTCAAATAAAGAGATTTGGCATTGAAAAAGCAAAATTGAAGCAACTGCCAGTGGACACACAACAGTAGCATTGATCATAATATATGGAATCTCTTTGAAATTTGTTCAGTATCTAAAACCTATCGAGATTTTTCATAATCCATTTTGTTTAATGGGTGTGGTCATGAAAATTTTCAAAAGGTGACACCCAAATTTTAAAAGTTTTGAATTTGTGCAGTGATAACAATTCTTTAAAATAAATTCAGCATCAGTCACTTTATCTAGTACCATTAAAGGGCAATAGGTCCATGATACACAGAATGCTGAGGGAAATTAGATTGTTTATGAGCTAAAGAGGAAGTCTCTAAAACTAGTTAACCTAACAGCAGCACAAATGCTTGTATCTACAGGCAAGTTCTAAAAATTCACAAAGATTTTAGGCAGATTTTTCGGAAATTTGATTTGGTAAACGAGTTTTGCTATGGAGAAATTCTAAAAAATCGATTGTTCTATGAGTGGCAATTATTAATATATTTATGTTTGTTTTACGTTTAGATAGTTATGAATCCTTTTATAATAATTTCAATTTCGATTTATGTCTACATACCCTCAAGCAGTGGAAATATTTCAGACTCTTTGTGTTATCGTAATTAACATAGTTGAGCCAATATCATTGAATCCCAAATTGTTTATACAAGTCCTTTTTCCCGAAGTGACCTTGTAAGTAAAGATTTGTTGGACATTTTCGGTTGCATCTCAGTCACAAACACTATTTTAAAATGTAATTTTCCAGTCTCTCGATTACTGAATGGAAATTTCGACACCTGCTTTAATGATTATATTATTTAAAATACTACATTAGCTTGTTATGACGTATGCAGCGTCAATGTTTGAAGAATCAGAGGAATTTCACGAAGAATGTCAAACGTAGTGTCTCTGTGGCTTTTCATTTTTCTTTCACCCTTACTGCCGTTGCCAAAGATACGTCAGAGACCCCTGAACCAAAGGTTCCGTCGTGGAGAGGGACTTAGCCCCTTGTTAAAACTTTCTTTCTTTAAGTCAGAAGATTGTTTCATTGACTTTATACACACAACTATGACACGAAAGAGAGCCTTATAAACAGAACGCAAGAATATTTGATGGGGTCATGGGTGTGGTATCTTGAGTTTGCTACAGCTCAGAGCCTTTCCTAACTTTTTAGAACGGCACCTCGACGCTCGCTCGACGCTGTATGTAAGCGTGGCCATCAGCCAATAAGGTGTACCACATCATTTGAATCTTTTCGTTTGAAAGACATACATGTTATAAAAAGAGACCACATGCCCCTTTTTATAACAAAGGAACACAAACAATTCCTCTCTCTTGGAGACTTTTCATTTTTTCTTAGACTTTTCATCGCATTTTTTCATTTAAAGCAGAGAAACAATTCAGACAAGTTCTTATTCACAATTGGCCAACGAATAACATAAAAGCACATCATAAAAGCACCAAAAGAAATAACACTTCCTGTTTCGGTAATAGCAATAAATGTTATTTACAGGGACGTTGGAACGACCAAGGGGCAAGGGGGGCAGGCTTGAGTAAAAGGGCATTTGAAAAATAATTCCCAGATACTAACAGTTCTTTCGAAACTGTCATTTTGTTTCGATCCATAGGCGTAAACTTAGGGGGGGCTCTGGGGGTTCAGCCCCTCCTGAGGAAAACCGAACGGGGGCTGAGCCCCCCTTGGAAAATAAGGAAGTGCTTCACCAATTTTTAGATTAGTTTGTTATATTATTGGTTCCACGCATAAACATTTTGAGTGTCTAAATAGAACTGATGATCTCAACCTAAAGAAAATGATTATGATTTAAAAATAAACTTTCCATAATCTCTTGTGTGTTTCTTCTTCATCGATAATGCACGAAAATGCACGAAAAAATCGCCTTTAAGCCCTTAGCTAATCCATTTTCTATCCTGTGACATCAGCAGCTGCCATTAGGAATTGTCATTAATTTTTTGGGCCCCCCCCCCCCCCTGAAAAAATGCAAGTCTACGCCTATGTTTCGATCTATTGTAGGTAAGTGTCGTCAATGATAAGGCAGTACAGTCGGAATTTCATATGAATCTTTTGATAATAACAAACGGCCACTTACGAAGATTTTTACTGCTTGGACACCTGTTAAGGGTACTTTGGCCCCCATGCCCCCTATCGAAAGGCAGCAGGGGCGGTTAAACCCCACGCCCCCTTCTCCAGCGTCCCTGGCTATTTATATACGAAAAGACTTGTTGCCTAAATTGAAGCTAAACCATAGTCAAAAGAAAGATTTCTTTTTATTATGGCTTAACTCCAATGAAGTCTTGTAGATTTGAATTAAACCATGGCTATCCATTTATTTGGATTTGTGGATGGCAAACCATGAAAGTTTGGTTACACTCATTCTTTTTATAAGAAACTGGCTATAAGAAACGAGTACTGGACAGTCAGAAAAAAATTAAGAAACTTCAGTACTCGAAGCAAAAAAATTAAGAAATTATTAAATCATGATAAAACTGAGAACAACAAAATTTTGTACAATCCAAGAACAAAATTGCCCTGTTGGCCTAGAACTTAAGACGCAAGGGATAAAAATATACTTCCCACATCTAAATACAGCATCGGAACGGATGCGAATCTCTTGGCGTGATAAAAAGGTCACGAACATTTCATAACATCATCATTCATGACATCATAATTAAGAAACTCTTGAGAAACAATGAGTATTGAAATTTCCAGAACATTAAGAAACTTGAGTACTCAACATCGACCTTTTTTTCTTATAAAAAGAATGAGTGTATTTGCATGCTATGCAAGGTATGAAAGGTGAACAATAGTAGATAAATCGCAGAAAGGAGGTCTGACTCAGGATGTGCATGCTAAAGTCGGTAACATGCAGTGAGTCATACACCTGCTGTATTGCTAAATTTAGACTGGCATCATCAACAAACTCTTCAACCGTGTTAGCAAACCGCTTTAATCCCTTAGTTTCTGAAACGTAGAAAAGCCTACCCACGTACAAATTGAAGTACGATATCGAAATTTCAATTTTTTCTCGCGATACTCGCAGATAAGCAGAATTTATAAGAAACATGCTTGCTTGTCTCATTAAAAAAATTTGTGAAAAATATGACCTTTCCGAAGGAAAATTAGCTGTGGGGGGCAAGCCTTTGTTTATATAGAAAGAAGGACAATAGCCTATTGCTCAAAACAATTGAAAGTCAGTGGGACTGGAGAGACAATCATCCCCCTAAGTTATTATGTTAAGAAATGCCCTGAAAGTAGCATACTTAAGCCACGTTTCTCAAAGCAATTTTAACACATAAATCTACTACTATCTTGTCCAGGGGGTAGAAAATGCCCTATGAATACTACCGAAAGGAAATCCAGTACAATGAGATGGTCGAACAGTGTACTACCACTGATCTATAAAAAAGACTTTTTTATAGATCAGTGTGTACTACCCTGGGTACCAGGGCCGCAAAAATTTAACGGCAGCAAAGAATCTTTGCGGCTCTGGTACCCAGGGTAACAGTGTACATATTTTGTGTTAACAGCTGGAAGACAAACATTCGTTTGAGCACGGTTTGCGCTTGCAACTGTGAATCACCATTTCAAGCCCTATTCCAATAAATACAACAGCAAAACGCAATCACGTGCCTGCATTTCCTGCTTGCAAAGTGTGACTGTTATGAAGCAAATCCAATTTCTTCCTGGTTGATATTTCCTAATTCATTATGAGAGGATTCGAACAACATTTCCACACCGCATTTCAGAGAAGGGGCAGATTTACCAGAAGGTGTAAAGGCCGGTTTACACGATCATATTCAGGTCACATTTGCATCACATATTTTATGTGATCACAGAATGTGATCGTGTAAACGACCTTACAAGTTGCTTGAAGTTGCACGAAGCAGCAAGAATTAATCCTTTTTAATTGCCTGTTAATTCGATGTCACAGATTTTTCATTTGACCAGCAATCAAATGGAAAGTCTGTGATGCAATTTTTTCAAAGGCACCGACAAGTCTTTGCTGTCCTGGGTAGATCGGGAACTATTTCGAGTTCATTTGTATCGACGTATTTGAGGATAGTGACCTACGTTTCATTTGTAATCAGAAGTATCAAGAAGACTACGAAGAGCCTGCATTCTCATTTCAGGCCATTAAATCAGCTGCAGGCAAACCGTATCAAATAGACAGGGAATTTTGTAGAAAAAACTAGCAAACTGCCTAACCTCAAATTTTATTTCACATTCTTACTAAATCGACCATGGAGATTCCAAATCCAAGATGGGCCAAAAAAATTATCACCGGAAGTTACTGTTTTTGATGACGTCATCGAAAAAATGATAAAAAATCTTTAAAAATCGGCCAAGGACTCGAACTCAATTTTTTTTCCCATTTTTGCACTAAATTAACTATGCAGATTTCAAATCTGAGATGAAATGAAAAATATCTCGAACGGAAGTCAAATTTTGT